GAAATCGGTGCATCTCGCTCGCGAAAGAAGATCGAGATTGGATCGGGGGGATAAACAGCATGCTGCGCAGGTCATCGGCCTGAAAACTGTCTGTTTATGCTGTCTCACTCTCATTTCGCAAAATGACGACAAGCCCTTTGAAAATGGGATTACCAAAGAGCAGTCAACCCAGTGGATGTGTAATGTCACAACCAGGGAACACTACAGGCTCGTACATGTACATATAGTTATCATTGTGGTTACCAATGGCTCCATCTACAGTGTACCGCTTTGACCTAATTTTCAGAGTTTCTTTTTTAAAGGAGGTAACAGACGAGCCAGTAGACACCTTACTCATCAAAATGCTAGTCTCTGCATTTTTCCATTCTGGCAGCCATGGTTCAATGATACAATACTTTCAACTGCGGCTGACCGCGTGCAGTGATCGGTCCTGGTAGCAGCCTCTAGAGGGCGGTGCCACTGTGCTTACAAATTCGTCTACAGGCAGGATTGACCAACCCAATCGTGCGGTTTGAGCTAAGTCTCGGTTTTTTCCGCTTGCAAATACACTGGGAAAACGCCGAACCGTACAAGCAGCTTAATAATTTGGTAACTAAAAATAACATTGAACGGGTGACTTTGAATAAATTGAAATGACGCAGCCCCCATTTTTATTGAACGCAGGCAGTTCAATGTGATGTCAGACGGGGGGGGGATATTGAAGAACGAGGAAGTTGTTGAAAAAATAGTTAGGTTCAACATATGCATAAAATGTTTCTTATGTTGTAAACCACTCTTGTGACATCACCGTATACAGAAAAGTATCGATTACGCTTGAGAATGTAAATCAGCGAACAGTACTTTCTTTAAAAAAGTGACGGATCGAAATCGACTTGGTAAACACAGAAGTCACAGTTTTGACATTGAATTATTACAAATCCAAGCTGACTGAGGAACGCTATTTGATGTTGGTTGATGTTTTCTATAAATTTTTCGATTTACTGCGCTAATATTTTGTTTCACGTTCGTTGGCGATTACAGATTTTTACGATAAAACACTCCATTATTTCACTTAAATTGTTCATGTGTCCTGTTCATTTTTATACGCGCTCCTTCCATTTGTTTTTATCTCGTCATTTTTCTGGATTCCTTATTTGTTTTTCCTTTGTTTCAAGATATCTAGCTAATACAGTTTCTCTTCCTCCGATATTAATTAAGCAAATTTTAAAAATAACTGCGATGACAATTGATGACAATTCATGTATAACTTTACAGAACAATGTTAGTTGTTCAGCAACTTACCTATCAATACTTCTCAGATGATATTCCGAATGCACGTATCTTCCAAATCTCTTGCGGTCACCGGGGGATTTCAATGAATAAGCATGTAACTTTTTTCCAAGGTAGTATATATGAAGCCTTCATTTGAACAGACAGTGAACTGTGGGTCCCAATCCCTCGCCTGCCTTGTTGGTGGTGTAAAAAGTCCCAACTCCGCACAGTCACATCCGTAGCATTTGATAACTGAAATCTAGTTTATTTTTGCAGCTAACTTAACACACATTAAACCCTTCGGACTCCATTCGGAGGCTGCATCGATGGTTCTGACTGCATGTCTTATGTCCTTGTATGACTTGATATGCGTGCACCGTGCATGTGAATACCAGAAATGGTTGTGCACCCAGGCAAAGACTCAGACAATTAACGGCTTGGGCCAAGAGTAAAGCTTTTATGTATGTATGCAGATGTACATGGCTGGCCAACGCTGGACAATGAATCGAATTCATCTCACGGCTCAAAGCCTTATTTAAACCCTTTTGTTCTCTTATACAATGGGCAATGTGGATGGAGGGACGCGGTTTAAGTCGGGGAAACGAAGAATCTCCACTTTTTTCGCCGTTTCTCCTTGACGAAAACTTCTGATTATTTTACTAAATAAATGGAAAATGCGGAAACGAGGCTGAATTGCAAAGCAAACTGAATTTCAAGCAAGACTGTTCAGCCTCAATGTGATTTCACCCTGTGGCATTTGATCAAGCAATTAAACCCGACCCAATTTGCAAGCTTGTGTGATCACAAGGTTTTCTGTCTCTTGCATGAATTTCTTCGGTTGTCCTGGAGCGCTGTTTCTTGGGCATGTAGACCGTTCAATCGAAAGCCGCTCAGCGTGAATTGCCTCTGTGGAGAATTCCTCTCAACTGTGGTCTGGGTAATTCCTAAGAGAGGTGGACCCTATAATTGCGGTCTGCAATCGAAGCCCTCTTATTAGGCGTGAAAACGGATTAACAGAATCCGAGTGGTATGGGCAGAGAGCTGGAAATAACACCATTCTTGTATCATGGGGACCAAATATCAGGGCCATTAATCTGGCTCGTAGCGACACTTGGCAAAAACAAGCCTAACTCACTGTAAAAAGCCAAGAAAATAGCATCAGATGGAATGTAATATCGGCCTCTCATCGAGTTTTCACCCCTTGATTTGCTTGCATGCGACGAGGGCTCATTGGCTTAAAATGTTGGCTATTTTTTGAAGATTTACGGAGCAGACGGAATTTACTTTGTATCTAGCTGGAAAACGGAGTAGAGGAAATGCTCTTGAAAGTCTTGAAAGCCGAGAGCAACCTTGAGCCTAGAGGAACTTCAGACACTGGATCGAGGGTGTTGAGGTTGCCAATACCACCTCTACAGGCAGCTAAAAAATTCACAATACTAGTTGATTGGGGCCAAAAATAATCAATGGAATGTTAAACGGCAAACTGTAGCTGACAGATCCAATTTCATGTGTTACACAATGGGTGACATTAATTAGTGAAAAAAAATAAAGTTATTACTCCAGCCAACTAGATCTACATACTGCACTAAAACCTTTATACAGAAAGATCTGAAGCGAGAGAACTTCGGCAAGTCGATCAGTGACATTATTCTGCAGGAAAGGTCAACCTGGCTGACAGTGTAGTTGAAGATTGGGTACCCAAGCGTCATTTGTGTTTCGGTCTCAGTGTTCGAAGTAAAAGCATGGGTTGAAAAATATTGACTCCAGCAAATCTCCTTTGTTTATTGCCTGGATATGCAGGAGAGGGTATCGTATAATTCATTTATTTCCGGGAAGGGGGACGCCCCCGGTCCCCATACAGCTTTCTGAAAGCTGTATCCGCCCACGAACTCAATTTGACAAGGAGTAATGCTTCCGAATGGGGTAGTCGCTTGAAAAGTCTATCTTTTTTGGCAATAACACCTCATCTAGTCGGTCGTGGCACACTCTCTTTATAAGCGCCAACCGGTATCACGTCAAATGTGTACAGTCCACCATTAAAGCCTTGCCAATATAACCCAATATTTGAGTAATAAAGGGTCGGAGAAATTAGGTCAGCCCAACCCATTTGAACAATCCTGGCATGTGAAGAACCCGTTTATGGCTTCCTGTCTGGCATGTTTATTACCAGAAATCCACTCTCTCCCCCGCCCTTAAGATTTGATAAAAGCAAGAGGACGGCAGCTGGTGGTTTATGGGCGTTCACAGTGCCTCGGCAAGATTGAGATGAACTCCCCTGCAGATGTGGCGCTCGTGACTCGCTCGGCTCACTGAGTATTAATAATTGATGACGGGAGGCGGATGTCATAACTGTTCTCATCCCCCACGGTTATGAACACAATTTCTTCAGCGGGTATAGCAAGGGGTGCGTGTTCGGAAGAGAAATCCCATTTCGTGGACTTGGCCCTTAATACTTTAGTTTGGTTTTTATCAATTTCTTTTCAGAGCGCGCATGACCGACATTCGGCCCCGAGCAATATTTATGAATCATGTTCAGTTGAGAATCGTACAACATTAGAGCAAAGTCTGGTGCTATATATATTGGTTTCACCTGCAACTTTTCCCCCTGATACATGTTTGGGGGGTGTTCGTAATGAGAACTGTGGCATTTGAAATGGATTACCAGGAAGGGATAGGGAGATTGCAGTGTAATAAAGTGATAAGCCCGTAGCAGTCTGTGGTAAAGCCGTCAATCGAACAGGAAAACAGACTGCCTGTTTTTCATTATCTTTTCTGATAGTAGAGGAAGTGATAAAGAAGCATACACAGCTCTAAGGGCGCAGCTACGGAAGTCCGCATTGTGGGGGGGGTAACCATTTATTTAAGCGCAAAGTTAAAAAAAAAAGCTTAAGAGGGAGTGTGTCCTAGAGTGGTTGAGGTTCGTGACTCGTGATTGTAGGGTCAAGGGTGCGAATCCAGCGTTTGGCCCTGGGCTGTGTCCCTTTGGTAAGCCCCGCCCTCCCCACTCGCTTCTCTCCACCCAGAGTATAAACCGTTACCGGACTTAGCTGGGGAGAACCCAGGGATGGACTATACTATCCCATCAACGGGGAATAAACATATCTCAGCCGTTTAATCCTAACATAACCGAAGATAAAACCGGCCAGACAGTCCGCACCGGCTCGTGACAGACTTTACGACTTTACAGCTTAAAATTAAACCAGAAAATGGACGTAACAAAAACGGCTTTTACAACTACCGCATTTCCTTTGTTTTCTTTTCTTTTATCCATTGCATGACATGTTTATTTCTTAATGCTAACTGAAAAGATAAATCAAATTCATGCAGACTTGCTGACATGTTTGCATTTGCCAAGACTGCAACTCAAGTGACGGACTGAAGTGTGTGTCACGGCGTGAATGGACCGAATTTTTAATTTCCAACGTGACAGGGGTTCAAAGCATTCCATGCAGGCCGAGGTCGCTTATCAATATTAAGGTGACCGATTTGCTTGGCTTATTAGGCCGGTTTTGCAGTCCAAACATTTCCTGAACAGAAATCGGTAATTTTGGAACCCATGTGCAATAATTAGTGAAAGCCTAATCACTTGGACATTAAAATTAAATTTTCACCAATTATGCCAGCTTAAAACGTCCATGTGGCCCTTCCAAGTCGTGCTCGATATTTTGGATACACTCTTCTCTTCTCTTCCTCAACGATTTAGGGCCAAAGTCTTATCTGCCTTTCTGTGTTTCTCTTTTTTATTTCAGCTCTCGTTGTTCGATACTTGACACATCGGTTCATCGGAGACTACGATGCCAATTTAGGTAACAGTCTCTTAATTTCCATCATTTATTGTACCTCTTTCTTAACCCCCTAATTTGGTTTAATCGCTTCACTCTTCTCCTGACGCGTTAACCGATGACAGGTTGTTTTAATATTTGTTTTTGTCAGTCGAATTTTCGGGCAATCCTCGAGGGAGGATCGAAGTTGCTTTACAAGTGTCAGTTTTTGAATGTTAGTCGCTACGATTTAATTTGAAAAAGCTAGAAAAACACGCTGGAACAACATTCCCTCCGTTCCCAACAGAAAGCCATTTTTTTTTAATTTCCAGAATCCATATACACTCAGTCAGCAAAGATAGACGACCAGTACATCAATATTAACTTAGTAGACACCGCTGGAGACTTTGTAAGTAGCGCAGTCAGAGTTGTCATTTCATTTACTGATACCCAATTCTACGATGTTTGGATTTTAAAAATGGCTTTTAAAGGCAATAAAATGGCTGGTTGTTTTAATGATAATTTTGTTCAATTTATGATTATGTAAAGCGATATGTTTAGAAATGAGCATTTACCAATGGGTAACAGGTAAGAACCTGACCTCATCTTCTTTGGTTTAATTACCTTACAGACCAAAATTTACCGAGACCGTGACATGAGAAAAATAAAGTCCAATAGAATAGAAAACCCTCGTTCAAGTGTTGGGCGTTAGGAACACAGAAAGCTTACTGGGGTTAACATGGTTACCAACAAAGCAGAATGTGTTTTAAATGCTTATGGCAGTTGCTGGAGAATTTTTCCCGCCCATTTCGAAGAACCCTGTAAATGAAGTACTTATGCAAAGTGAACCGGCATGTAGCAAGATGAATTGTCACATCGATAAAGGGTGTTGCAGCTTATTAGACGCACTTTCATCGCCTGGTTGAAACGCCATTGTTCTAATTGTGTCTTGTCAATCTGCAGGATTTTGAAAGCCCGGCAAGGCAGGAGCAGATCCGGACCTCTGACGGACTGGTGCTAGTCTACTCCTTGGTCGACAGGGAAAGCTTCGAGTACGTGTCGTACATCCAGCAATTTCTCTCCAAAGTGCCCGGCCGTGACGCTGAGCGGATTCCCGCCATTCTCATAGGCAACAAGTCCGACCTGTGCCACCTGCGCACCGTGTCGCCAACGGAGGGCGCCGACCTGGCCAAGGAGCTGGGCTGCCCATACTACGAACTGTCGGCCAGCGAGAGCTACCTCGACATCGGCGACGCCCTCCACGACCTGTGCCGGGAGATTTACCGGGCGGAGAAGAGGGCGAAGGTCAAGAAGATCTCGGCCAGGCTACAGCTGCGACAGACTATTAAGAATTTCACTGACCGCCATATTTACAGATCGAGAACGAATACCTTGTAATGTGGGCGCATCTGTGCAGCAAGACGCGACCAAGAATTCCACAAATTTCCCTCTCACTTTCGTGGAATTGTCCGTTCGTTTTCATTAACTCTTCATTAAATAATTATGTCTTGCAAATCAGCCAATTTTCACTGATATTTATTTTCACAACATTCATGAAAAATAAATGATGTAATTAGTCAGTGACCCTTCGTTTAGCACTATCATGTACATAAATGGTATACCATTTATGGTCTTCACCCTGAATTAATTAGGACCTACAGTAATAGATGTTCTAAACATAATCAAAATCACCAATGTAAGCGATCCTTGTGCACACAGAATTCTTCCCGATTCTGCTGTAGAAATGAAAGCGGTAAAGACATCACCTTTAACAGCTATTCTTATAGACGTTGTTCATCACGATCTGTTCATTAACCTATCACATCGTTCTATTTAGAAGGCCCTATCGTGAACACTCTCTATTGCAGAATTTTGCAAGACTCCAAGGTGTGTGCCTCCATACAGATTAGTTTCAAAGGCTTTATCTGGGACAAAGATGGATGCTAACGGTAAACTCTCGGCAGAAAACTCTTACTGTGATGCTTCTACTCTAAGAACGAGCTACGCAGGGGAGCGGTTTGACGAAATTTGGATTTGTCTGAAGGATCCGTGGCTTTCGTTTTGCTTTTGGTTCCAGTCCACATTTTCACCCACTGATACATGCCAACATTGCCCTGTCCAAATGGGGATGACGAGTCTGGTTGCTGTCACTTTAATGTCATCGACTAAGGGCAGCCGAGAGGCCAAGACCTGCTGCCAAATACGTCCGCAATCTGCTAGGAAGAAAGTCGCGCCTGGACGAAAATTATGCTGCCGGCGAACTTACACCAAAGATGCCTTCGGAGGGTTGATCGCCTCGAACAGGATTCCGTGCACGCTGTACTCCTCCTCAACAGTGAACAACAGAAAGCCTGGGGCAACACTTGAGGCCCACCGCCAGAAAAAAATACCCGGATTTTGAACAGAAGTAGAGGGACTGCTGGCGCAGGCACATGCAGCCAATGCAAGAGGGACGAAGTGCCAACGTTTACCAAGTGCAGCCGGCCGAACAAGGAAGTCGTTATTAGGAAACAAGGTACATCTGCCTGCTCACGCATAAAGCCCATAGAGGACAAAATGGGCCGACGAGAGCCGTATATGTTGTCTGAATTTCCTGTAACGATTTTGGTCAACTATCGAGATCATCGAGTGGACATTTCAGCTGGGTTCATTGGGGTCTAAAATTTCAGCGCTAAACTTTTAACACTAGGTATGAAAAGAGTGAAAACCCCTCTACCAAGCATTTTATTTTCAATTATGAACTATTCAGCCAATCAGTGCAAGAACTAAATTAATTGCGGTTAATGATACTGTTAGGATCATACTTTTTCGGGGAAATAGATTAAATTAAGCCCATAAAATCAGCCTATTTTGGGAGTGACACCGAAAAACTAATAATATCGTGAAAAAGGGAAGAAACATCACTAGGACAGTAATTCACAAACTGTGAAAGTCGAAGAGTGTTATTTCTTCTTTCCAGTTTTAATCTACAGTATAATGCTTCAGTGATTCAAAGAACGATCGTGGTTTAAAAAACAAGTTGATGAAAGTTGTCATTATTTTTGATGCACTCGACGATCTAAACCGTCAGTATCAGATTTTTGTATCGATGACAATAGATGCATATGCTTTCGGCACGGTCCGTTCGGCAATCGTTTGGACGGGAAACTTGGAGGGAATCATCACACGCTCAGTTACAATGGGTACGACTTTTGGTGAAGAGATGAATGACGTCCTGTGGGAATGTATAGTCTTCGTGTGTGCGTTGAGTACCCACCACCACGCTCTCTTGTCTTTTTCGGTGAAAGGCACCAGATCGTGTATAATCAAAATTGCATCTGATGGGGAAATTCATTCGCAGTTGAAGCGCGCACGACAGCAATATCATATTATGAAGTAAGATAGATCAACGAGCTGTTGTCCAAGGCTGCAGTTCATTACTCGGGCTAGAGCGTCCTCGTTATACGGCCATTATCTCGTGTTCGATTCGTTCATTAGTAGACTCGAAACGCGGCGCATACGTGTGTCTCATCAGGCGCGTGTTTCACAGAACCATCGAGGAAATTGTGTGAACGCGCATGAAGACAAAAAGATGACTAGAAACACGACTTTTTCCAACTGAAAACGCTTTTATACTCTGCTGTATTTACTTCACGACTCAGGCAAATCGTCAAGCGCGGGTGAGAGTGAGTCTAACAATGCATGTGTCTTAAACCCCAACTAAACAGAAGTAGCTAAAGTCCCGTAGTTTACACATTAGGCCTATAGAATCACGAGAAAGTCACGAATCCTTGTCCACAAAGTAAAATAAAAGCCACATATAACGGCAACCTCTGCGTTGTTTTAACAATGTTTTTTTTGTCATTGACCAAAGTCTGAGCGCGAACATATATGCTCCAATTTCGGCAGCTCCTGCATGTGAAACCATACTGTTTCACAGCTCCATTAGTTGAATTGCTTCTTCTTTGGCCACCAGCTATTGGCAGATGCTCTATAGGCGTTCATTATTTCCAGTGGTAGTCAAGTAATTTGAACATAGCCTTTATTTTTATTGATATTTTCCAATTTAGAGCAACGAAATCGTGACGTTCGTCTGTAAAGGGGTGCATAATGGGTTCCGAGGGCAAACCAAAGAGGGTGATTTGAGGCCTACTTGCGGTATTGAAGAGCAAGTTGGAGCCACGACCATAATTAACTGTAGTTTGACTAACACCGCCCGAACGATGGGTGGTTTGGACTATCTAGTCGACCATTTGGGACCAGGCCCTTGAGCATGGTCGCTCCTCCGATTTCATTTATCATCACAGAGGGAACCATTCATTTGAAAATAATTGGACCAAATGTCAATGACCATGCACACTGCGAGAATCAAAGCTAACAGTGAAAATGTGGGTAGGCCTAACTAACTATCATATTAAAAAATAAGCCAGCTTGAATTGTTCTCGTGTGACTGAATTGCACGTGCCCATTGTTGAAAAGTGACAGACTACTGGTCGAGCTATAGTTCGCGCCCGAACTTGCCCATTGATACCGACACTGATGTGTCCTCGCTGTGTTATCTTTTGTCTACGTCACAAGTGCGGTTTTTGCCAACCAGTCCACGTGACAATAAAAGGGAGGTGCCCGTATATGTTACATTTAAAAAAAAATAGAGGAAACTTATCGTCGATTTCCAGTCACCTCATCAAAACCAAAAAGGTCTTCTTTTGAGAAGCCAGTGGTGAGCTGGGATCTGTTTTTCCGTATGAATCGGCGTTGGCTAAGCGATCGATACTGTTGGGCTGAATGACTCGATCAGTCGCAACTTGGAATGAAGCAACGATTATATAAGGACTGCACACGCGTAAACTCTCGCTGGACTTTTAAGCGAGCGTCGCATGAGCCTCTTTACAATGAAAATGGCTCCGAATTGGATGCGATTGATGAATTTCAGTGTACTCTTTGGAGCTATAAGCCGCATTCTCCCCTTGAATACAACCTGTTCTAACTGCCCCTTCCAATGGAGAGAGAACGGCGATTACTGTTACTTGATGGTCACGGAAAAGCTGGACTTTCAGGAGGCCGAAAACAACTGCCAAGCACGCTCCTTGTTTGAAAGACAGTCGCACCTGATGTCAATAGCCAGCATGGACGAGAACACGTTCCTCAAGAACTACACCAAAGATGTTTTCGGCAGGAGTTACTTTGCACTGTGGATCGGGCTGAACGACAGGGTCTCGCCCCAACACTTCGTCTGGACCGACGGGAGCAACACGTCCTACCGAAATTTCAAGGCTGGGGAACCGACCCACAGCCAGAACGAAGACTGCGTGGCCCTGTGGTACGGTGAGGAGTGGAACGACTACGGCTGCGTCTACAAGCTTGACTCCGTATGTAAGATGCCGGGAAGGTTTTCGTCCCGAAAATAATTGTAATGCCACTGGCTGCTTGGAAATCAGACATCATTGCTAGGCCTGTACTGAACTGATGCATGTACAAACTTAAACCGATCTGAGGTGCTGTGACACACCTTTTGCGTTTATTTGTACTAAAGAGAAATTGTGGACAATATTTATTTTATTCAGAAGACACGGATTATACATACACAAAATTTTTCAGTTTGGAAAACCTATTAAAAACTTTTGGAAAAACATTCACCACGCTCCAAATCGACAAACCTCAGCCCGACAGTTCACTAGCCTGAGTAAAGTCATTCGACAGGATGTTAGCAACTGGTGCGCTTTCCTTTCAGAAGAACAGAAAGAGCGACTGCTGGATCAATTACACGTCGATACTCTATAAACGATGCAGCACCTTTCTGGTCACGAAAACAGAAAATCGTTCAATTTTACGAACGACGAAACTATGAGACGGCGGCAGATCGCATGAGATCAGCGATCGCTGACCAGGTGGAGGTGCATCCTAGCCTTACGGAGTGAGGACTCTGACAGCTGTCCACGTCTGAAACATTACTTTAACACGCCAAGTCAATTAGGCCATGTTCCTATAGGTGTTAAAACTGACGAACTGCAAAATGAACTTCATCAATCTTTAATACGAGGATAAATCCTGTAATTGCTTTTAATAAGGGAAATTTTCTGACCTGTTTCTGTTCAAGAGAAGCCTTCCTATTACGATGATCAATCAGGTAACTACATGGGGGAAAAAGAATCAAGAAGAAGACGATCATTTTAGAAGTGCACCAAACAGCAGAATTTATTCATTAGAGCAGCCCACCCTTCAACTATTTCACTTCTGTGGCTTAATTCTATGAATTGTTTTAATCATTACTAGTTTTTCCCTTGTGTTCAAAAGTGTCCGTTTGAAGTAGACTTATGGAAACCCTTGTAAAGGAAGTCATCTTATGTATTTCAGTAAAATCTAAGTTAGATCTTCAATAAACTGTCACTCTCACGGTAACTGAATACGCTTGCAGCTAAGAGATAGAAAATACAATTTATTATTTTTTTTATTTTCCAATTGGTGAATCGATTGACAGAAATTTGATAAGAATATACCTTCAGCAAGCACTGAAAATAGATCCTCAGTTGCGACCGAGCTGAATAATGTAGTTAATCTTCAGAAACGGTTACCCACTGGTGCATGCGTGTCTGTGCCCTCATTTTAAAACACTGAAGAAAAAAATATAGAGGCGGCAGATCACCTACTTTCAGTGCCCCCCTGCCCTGCCCCGCCCCATGTGTGCACCCCCCTATGCCCTCCACCAGAATATTGTAATTACGCCGCTGATCCGATTGGGTTAAAACTTAATGAGTGTCTTTTTACCTGCATGCCTAGAGTTTTTAAATAAAAAACGGAGTTGTCATGAGACAGTCGAGACGACCCCTCGCCCTCCCGGCCTGACGCAGCTCTGCATACGCAGCAGCCTAAATTAGATTTTGGTTGCGCAACTCGGCAGCAAAGCATCTTCCGCTCTACAATTAAAGTGAATTCATCCCTGGGCCATGGGTGCCTGGCTCTCTCTTATGCTGCGAGCACAGATTAAGAGGAAGCGTACATCCATCTACCGCGGGGACCGTAAACGACTGCAAATGCTCCCTCTGTAAGCACGACAAGTTAAAAACATACCTCTCCATCATTCAGGAGTCGGAAATGACTGGTGGACAGGCAGGGCCCTTGAGGGCGTCGTAATCAGCCCGTCTGACGCCCGCCTCTTCACCTTAACAGCCCCTCGGAAAAGAGAGCTTTCAAAAATCCGTGAGATTCAAAGCAGGCCTACATCCTGTCCGATAAAATCTTCCCGATAAGAGCCCTAAAAACGGAAATTATGGAGCGCTTTTTACGAGGCTTCAACCTCAACTGCGAATACACGTGTCCATTTAATCGCAAATGTCTGTTTGCAAACTGTCACGTCACAGAAACGAATCTGCAGGGTGCTGTACACCCCCCCAGCCGCTGATTAAAGACACCGTACAAGTAAAACGAGGTCAAATATACTCAAATGATACACAATCCGAGGCTTGATTGCTTCAAATGCGGGAAAAGCATCAAAGGAGGGATATAAACGTATCAAAGTTTGGACTGGGACAAGTTTTAAAGTTTTCCAGAAATTCTGTCTTCTGAAGTCATCCACATCGCCTCTCGGTATTAAGCAACAAACTCCAATTGAAAGTAGGCCTAGGCCTATCTGCATCTCCGACTCCTGCACCAGACCTGTCACTAGCGCCCGTGACCTGGGAACCACTGTCACGTCAAACCTTCGAATGCAAAACCAGGTCAATAACATTTTGTCGCTTTTCTTATTCAGCTCTCCAGAAGATAGTACAAATTTGAAAATTCCTCGACCAACAGACGGAAGAGCTTGTCCATGCTTTTATCTCTTGCCGCCTAGATTTCTGCTACAGTCTACTACACCATATTCCTGATTCTCAAACCTCGAAACTTCGGCGCATTCAGAATTCCGCCGTCAGACTTGTTACACGTTCATCATCTAGGCAACATATAATTCCTAATCTTCACACTCTTCACTGGCTACCTGTCAAAGAGCGAATCGCTTTCAAAATTCTACTCCTCACTCACAAATGCATCCATCGCTCAGCAAAAGCATACCTTCGTGAACTTATTCAAGCATATCAGCCACGACGCACCCTCTGTTCTAGCTGAACATTGCTCCTCGATACACCTGTCACTCGCACTAAGACTTATGGACATCGTTCCCTCATGCATGCATCACCATCGCTTTGGAACTCTCTTCCACGCCATATCAGAACCGTCAATAACGAAAATTAATTTAAAGCAGTCCTGAAAACTTACCTGTTCCATTAATTGCTTTTAATTGTTTCTTGTGAAGCGCATCGAGACTTTGGTGTGATGCACTATTTAAAAACTGTGTTGTTATTATTATTTAATTGTTTTCAGTCTGTAAAACTATCCTCACCCCTAAAGACCGTGTACCGAGCGCTAAAATTGTCCGGGGGGATATATCACTACAAAGGTCGAAACGACAATGTCCCTTTTGTCCCGGGGATGTACATGTCCTTGGCTCGCTTACTCAAGCCTTAAATTCCCCGGTTTGGTTGTGCATGAAACCAAATTATCAGCCTCATTCTGCGACAGCTGGGGGAGTGAAGAAAACATGGAATTAGAGAGTGATTTTTGTTCAAAGTTCTGGAGTCTGTCGATGTTAGAGGCATTTCTGTATTAAAAGTACAAGATTTCTATTGTCAAATAAAGCATTCGATGTATTACACATCAAAACGTGAGAAGCAGACAGCACGTGCACGACTGTACAGATAGGTACGAGGCTGCGTAAGCACATAGAGCGTCTATTGTATGTCACCTGGTCTTCAGATATGTCTACAAAACAAAGAAAACAAACAAACAAACAAATGCTTAATCTAGGCCTATGTATTTACTGCACGGGCAGATCCACCCCCCCCACCACCACCCTTTTCACCAAAAATATAAATGAATAAATGAGAAGAAAATGAGGGAGGGGAAGAAAAAAGGGAGGGACCCGGCCTCATATTACGTGACAAGGGCGTAAAAACAACAATTATGCTTCTTGGTACCCAACCTCCCTAATTTTCCCGATAGCTTTATTTTCAATTTTTTTAACAAAGAATACTTCACAGGTCGGAAGAGGCAAGAAATACATTTTATCAAATATTAGCACCAAAAAAAAAAAAGAAAAGAAAAGCGGGAAAAGAGCACCTTGCACAAAAGCAAGGATGTTGGGACCGTGAGTACGGCTTTTGATTTTTTTTCTCCCCAAAATCGTGTTGAATGAACCCCAAGCTTTTGAACCCCCCCCCAAACACACACACACACCAAAAGCTGGGTGCGCCGCTGCCTGGATCTACCCCTGTAGTTTGACGTCTCAATCCAACATTGCAACGAGACGCCTCATCTCAACAGGACGAGACAACGCCGCCACTCAGTAGAGGTTTCGACTTGTCAGTTCAACATCACGTTGATATTATCTAGAAACCAAAAAGTATACGCAGTAACACCTCGACTCGCTTAAATGGCATGCAATATGATTACGTTGCGACATCTCAGTTCATTTCGTTGTGACTTCTCCACCCAACCTGCGATTTAAGCAAACTGTAAAAACGTCTGAACCTCAACTAAGCTGAAAGTTTTACACAACTTGCAGTATAAATAACGAAGCCAGATCGATTTTTTCCCCCTTGTGACCCACACAATTTTATTTTCCTCAGGCACCTTCAGTACACGTTTCGGTCGTAGCCTGACTTTAAAGCTTCGCTTTTTTTTACAAGGTAGTAAAAACGTTCCATTCTGTACCAAACAAGACAGTATATATTAACAAAATGTAAATTACAGCTCACTACGGAGAAATGGCAAGTCAGTCAGACAAAGCAAAAAGATAGCCGAGTGACATCTTCTGATTGTGGTACATACAAAAGCTTACAATTAGACCTGCACTATCTCCCTTGAAACTTTCAACGCTACAAGGACTTTGTGAGTCGATGTTAGTGAAAGGAAATGCAGAAACTCCAAAACATTAAATCACTGCACGGAATCTTTTGAGGTGTCACAGATACCAAGAAATGGGGTCTTTTACTTTTGTTTTGAAATCCACACCGATAATTACTGTTCCCTTGGTTATTTCTGCACTTGTGCTTGGACCCAACAGTGCACTGGGCCAAATGGAAAGCCATGATTTGGGTATGGGTAGCATGTTAACCTTACGTCGATTGGTTTAGACCAGGATAACTATGGCAGGTGCTCAATTGCACAAGAAAACATATAGCATTGACCGTGAATCTACAAGATACAGTACATCACCTTTTCTTTTTTGGGGGTGGGGGTGTCTGTCGATAAATTTGGCAAAACCGTTTTAAACGTGCTACCCGGCAGCCAGGATGCATGCGCATGGTTCGCCGCCCAAGAGAGCAGTCTCCGTGATTTCAAATTCCCCGAGCTTAAGTTGTTCGGACGCCTCACGCGGATTGGATCGTTCACACATTTTTATTGGTAAAAATTATTTTTAAAAAACCTTGAAATTTTCAGAAATTTTGATTACTCTTGCTGTGCTATACCACGTTATAATTGATACTCAATGTACTCCTGGCGGAACTTTTTTAGAGGCAAGGAAAACATGTTTTTTTATGCAGAACTTTGTTTAAAGAGCACCTAGGAAAACATGTTTTCTCTGATTTCATCTGTTCAAATAAATATGGATGCGTCCAGATCGAACGCAGTGTCATTTGTCTTCAGAGCTCAAATGTAAGAAGCTAAAAAGGGCTTTTTTCTGTTCATGCCAAGATGCGAATTCTGAATGAAGAATGTGTCATTCGAAGAACAGATAAGATCAGAGAAAACATGTTTTACCAAGAGGTGCTCTTTGAAATACGTTCACATGTAAATGAATAATGCAGATCGTCAGTGCTTTGCGTTTCAAAATCGTTACCGAGGCAACTGAATCAGTCAATATCAAAACCCGAAAATGAGGGTTACAATGGACATGATCACCACTGTTGCCAGGTCAATGCATTCATGGGGGGTGTTCCAACTACATGGAACTGGCTTTAGTCCGCCAAAATACGTCTACGGAAGCAGCACATCCTTTCCTGTTGGACAAGAAGAAAATATACTAATCCCGGAGCTGGAATTATAATACGCAGTCACTTCTATGAGGAAACAAACATTTCTTGCTATCAGCGAAATTAAAAACTTTGAAGGAACAACTGGTTCTTACTACGTTCCCAAAGAGATCAGACAAACCCTGAAGTTTCAAGTGTTGTGTTCATTAGCTGGCATTAGACAGTCTTCCTGGGCGCAGGCCCTTGGTGATCTAGCCAGAGCAGTGGGACAAAATGCGCCACGTCCTTGGTCACAACACTGGTACTCAATGTAATTTGGGGCACAGAGCGTGATTTGACAGGATCGCTTATCAAACCCGCTACCTTCCCTTTTGGAAAAGAAAATAACATTCGTGAAAATCGTGAAGCAGTGTGGACAAGTAGGCCTATCACAAAACTAATACCTGGGGACAAAATGCTTGTGGTTTTTATGCTAATTATTCATGATGTTTGTTTTTTAAAACGGCAATGTTGAGCAAGTAGGAAAGTCAAGTCTGGAGTGAGACTCGGCTGACAACGAGACATCACAGTGACAAACAAAAAATTCAGGAATGAGGAAGCCAAATCTCACGTCAGTGATTCTGTTAAGTCTGTACAAATAACAGTACATGAAACAAACTTACATATTGGAATTCGAAAGCAAAATTGCGGAAGGAGGTTGCACAGTAAAGTACATGTATTACTTCGGACGAGAAATATTTACACCATAAAAATTAAAACGAGGCAGGTAATTGAAACTAAAACAGTACGCATACAGTATAACCGATTGAGAAAAAAATGAACAGAAAAACCAAAATAAACCCAAACAAAATCCAGTTTATCTTGATGAAGACTTCCTCGACGAAGCTTTCCTTTCCGTCGGATGAAAGTGACAGCAATGCCACACTGTCATGATTCTTTCCCAACACAGTTTTTAAAAAAATGAGAAGCATGCATAATTATAGCACTTGCAGTGATGACTAAGATTTTGGAACTCTCTGATTTGCAGGATCATTAAACTACTTTTGTCCTACCGTTCTTCGAAGAAAGGGAAGGTAAAATGCAGGGTTGAGCAAACATCGGAGCCAAAATGATTAGACAAAGCACTCTTGCTGGCTTTATAGTCAGCCAGCTTTTAAGGCTGCGGCTGCTTCCCATAAATGCATAATATTACTCCCGGCCACAGCCAGATGGTTGGGACACGGCTTTCCCCTCAGAGACTGAGCATAACTAGGGATGCCTAGTCCATTTGACCTCTGACACAAGGTCAGCTTGAACATTATAAAGTGCACACTTGGGCACTGTTTCCTGCTTGTTACAAGTGAGGTTTGAACCAGGCTAATACGGCCACTATAAGCAGGAAGCCTACGATGGTTTTTACAGAGCAAAGTATCCAATATAATTCCAGATGCTTTAAAGACCTTGCCTGTCGTCACATACATGTGATGTGAGGACACATCTCCAGCCAACAAAGGTCGCATGTTGAAAGAAATTTTCCTGTTCATTCCAATTCTGCTTGAATGGGTAGCATTCAAAAACCTGTCATTAATCTCAAAGCCAAATAGTATCCCCAATGCTAATTTGGTGTTTTGGTAACCCATGTGGTAGATGAGTGTAACCTACATCGGCTGCTCAGAAATCATCGCTTACCAGGGACATTACTCTAGACATCACTATGGCCGGCTCTTTGTGGGAGGAATTGTTATTGGGCTATTGTTGACATCAAATATTAACAGAAAGTATGCTGGAAATGTGGCGCAGGAATAGAAGAGATTTGACAAGTTAAAAAAAATTCAAGGCTTCTGTACGTATTCCTAGATTTAAAAACATGTCTGCTTCCTACTTGTGAGTCTTCCATGGCATTTTATTTCCTTCAGTTTTGGCAGCATGCAACGCTGGGATCAAAGCGAAATCTGTGTGAACATTTCAACAAATTCATTATCTTTCGAAATTTCAAGCTGACGGGATCATGTGTCAAGTCACTAAACTGCAAGTTTGCATTTCGTATAAAAGAGGTGTAAAATACAATCATCTTGGAGGAAGGGCCATTTCATTTGGACTGCCAGCTTACAGATGTAACCAACTGCTCTAACGACCTGGAAAATATCAAAAATTGTAAAACCGAGAAATGCACGGCCATATTTATATATTACTTGCACCTGACTATAACAAGAAGTTGATGTTTTGTGGCTTATGCAACATCAAATGAGAAAAATCAGTCACACTGAGGACTCCTCTTCAGGTGTGGGTAAGAGACGGAGACGGGGGAGGGATGACAGGGCAGTGGGGGAAGGGGACAGAAAAGGGGCAACAGCAGAGCAGACAGGGAGGGTGGTGGGGGGAAATCCTCTTTTCGATAGACTGGGTGGCTGGGAGAGATGGCTCTTCCGCGGAGCTTTGGCTGACATGACCAATGAGGCGTCTCCAGGATCATCTGAAGAGGCGGGTGAAGTCCTTCATGGCATAAGTGACCACAATGAGCTCTTCAGCACTGCCAATGGAATGAACAGAGACGCCCCAAATGGAATAATATTGCCAGTATGGAAATGAGAGGTGGGGAGGAGGATGATGGAGATTTCTAGCTAACCCACAACCCCGATTTCATCCATGTCAGCAAATAAACAGCAAAGTTAATCACCATCAATAGGACAAAGATGACTGGAATTACCCTGATCTACAAGATGGAAGTTGAGATAAATATTCCAGTAGGACCCTGATTCCCCCCCGCCCCCGCCCCCGCCCCCCCAAAACATCACAGTTCAGTATCACTGTCTGAAAACCAGGGAGGTGCCAGTCAGGGTTAAGACAGTGTAAACTAGGCCCTGTGCTGCAAGTCTCAGAAGAACAGCCGGACACAACTTTTCTCCCCATTCTCTCCTGCTGATTTTGAATGCTTCATGTTCAGACAGACCCGCCCAAAAGGGCCAAGCATCCCAGGAATGTTTTGTTTTCCCTAGAAAACGAACACACCCCATGCACGTTCTGTTGCCTTTCTACGCAAGATTTTATAAAGACATTATAGGCAGAAACATACGGTGCTAAATTACACGTGGCCTCCTCAGGAAGCTTCCTTTCAAGTATTACAAACATCTCAGAGGTTCGCTTCCCCAGTCTTCGGTCAACTGTGGCAAGCTACTTAGGTTTTGATTCCGCTCATGTGCATCCGAGCACCCAGAGTTCAAATAAAAGTTCAAACATCCTGCAAGCAAAGAATGCTGATAAAGCCACTGCGCAATGCAAGCATTCCCCCCCCCACCCCAAGGACATACCTTGTGACAGTCTTGTGGAAGTCAGTGAGCTGTTTCTGCGTTGCATTGATCCGGCCGTCTTGCGTCTCGGCGGGGAGAGACTTGAGCGCTGCTTCCAGCCAGGTTGATGTGGTCTAACAGGAAAGTTATCATTATTAATTCACCATGATATCATCCGGTACAAATTGCTCACTTTCTCTTCGACAAGCTAAGCTAAGGGCTTACAGAATACAGCAATTAATAATTAAAAAATTCTGTAAGTAAAGTCACAAAAGCTGACCTTTCGATCTGAATTTTATTCAAAGGCAAAGTCTTGCCTTTGTGGTAGTCTAGCAAAGTAAGGCTTTCAGCTTCATCATCACCTGTGTATACAAAATGGTTGAGGATCCACATTGCCCATTCCTGTGGGAGAGTAGGACTAGATTTCCTTGAACTTTCAAGTCGGTCTCATCAATCCTTAATGTTATATTCTTTCAGTTAAAACAAACTGTAATGTTCATTGAAAGTGAGGGTCAAATTTGGGACGCTGAAGAGAATATTCGGTATCGCAGGTTTTCCAATAACATGGTGTTCATTGTGGTGGCTTCTACGGTGGTCCATTAAAAGTACATGGGAAAAACTGAAATGTTCAATGTACCAATGCAGGGGTTGATGCTAATCCTAATGTTTATTACATATTCAAGTCATATTTGGGGTTAATATGCACCAGCAATCCCTTTTGCCAATAGTTTCCATTGCATATATCCTTCAAAACATCCCTGCTTGAGGAAGAATCTCTCACTATTTCCCACAGAGCAGCCCTCCACCTACCTCTCTGTTCACTTGGATCAATTCAAAGAGCACCTCAGAGATATCGGGCGTCATGTAGGAGGGTAGGTAGAAGACGCAGGCGTCCACGATGCCCTTGGTGATGGCTGGCCCATGTTTCTCCAGCAGACTCAGGACCAGGTTTTTCCTGGTCTCGAAGTCTTGGCTCTCCTTCGGAAACAAAGAAGACAAAACAGGAGTAAACTGCAATTTGGTTTTTTTTTTTCCAGTTTTGGACAGACACGGCTACTGAGCCTGTATATCACTCACTAGTTGGATCACAGACAGGGGAGCAGATGCCGAGCAAGCACTTTCCATCCCAACCACCTGAGGCAACTCAACAACCGTCAACAATTAGTTTCCAGCCTCCTGAGACGCTTCTGCTCTCTCTCTCTCAAAATCATGTACAATCAACTCTCAATACAAAGAGCACAGAGCACAAAGTGCTGTCATAAAGAGCAAATCCCGAGTTCCTAAAGTCTCTGGCATTATTTTGGTCTTTTTTTTTTCCCACTCCTGAAATCACAAGACTCTGGTCGCAGCATGGTTAACTGGCCAGACCTAGCAACCTTGTTGGAAGGAGAGTCAAATGTAATGTTATCCCGCAACTTTCCCCAGAGACCTTAGATATCACCCGTGCGGGGAAATTATCATAATCACCAATTTTTATTAACCGTGTTTTGAAAGTGTGTGGTGCAGGACACACTGGACTCATGCTTATGGGGGGGGGAATGGTGGATGTCTTCAGGCCTTTCGATGCCCTCCTATTTAACTGGAATTCCCCTCTTGTCAATCTCTGGACAAGTGGATTGCCATTACAGAGGCTGATAATGCTGCTGGGATATCTTAAGTGTAGAAAATCAACTCAATATTAGCTGTCAAGCACCCCAGGGATATGTAAACAAATGATCTGAAGGAGAGCTTTATAAAGAGCGGCGCCTGGGGCCAATTAATTCAGCCTGATGGGTCAATCATTGACGTTATCACTCCCTCCCTACCTACTTCAGTCGACACGTCAAAGTCGCGTGTCAAAAATAAAAGCTGGATGAGGCTCTCCATAGTGACAGGATGCGGCTAGACTTAGACAGGCCTGTCAAGGAGAAGTAATTATGCCCAACCTTTTGAAAATAATGGATAGAGAGGCCAGAAAGCAATTTCGAAGAAGTGCGAGCCTAGCCACCTGAGGATAAACTGCACTGATGGGCTAACAGACAGGGCAAAAATGTAGGAACACGGAGCAAGGAATCAAATACAAAACCCGACACCGCCCCCCCCCAATTATTACTTATAATGGACTCACCCATTTTGATGAAGTGCACAGTGTCAGTTCCCGAAAGAACTTGCAGACGGATGCATTGGCTTCCCTGTGATCCAGCGACAGCGCGGCTAGCGCACACTCTACGATAGGCTCAAATGAGGTACACTGTAGAAAGGCTACAGGGCACCTTTGTAATAACCTGAAAATCAAGGACATAGGGTACATGTCGGACAGGGGATCACGAAGACTATTTTCTCTGGTCCTGAACTCTTCTTCGGGCCTTTCAATGTTCAAGACAAACCAAAGGACTGAAAAATCAGCCTACAGACCGATTCGGTGACAAGAATCAGGAGCCGTTACTATGGTGTCCCCACGCCCGTGAACAGGAGCAAAAGAAGGGCATTGAATGCTTCTTCCTCAGCCAATGGGAGCACACCGCTAACCAAAATCACGCGCTTGTCAAGGTCAGGAATGCGCACCCCTGAGTGACAGGACACCGCAATGGTGGCATCAGCGAATCAGTGCATACTGTATAAAAATCTTCAATTGGGAGCCTGTACATCTGGCAGTTGGAGTGCAAAAAGGCAGGACAGGCAGGGGACCCCAGTTCCAGAAAAGGATGTCACTTGTCTCCTGAAAGCTGGCTATATATAACCAGCAATGTAAAGACAATCTGTGGTCAGCAGTTTGAAAGCTCAACAGAAATTCTCAAAAGAATGCTGGATTGGGTTTTGTAAACATTCTGTTGAAACACTGGTAGTATATATTTACTAGATGACCAGGATAGGTCTGGATTCCTGAATTCTTTTATTTGTTGTGCACTCAGAAATGGGAAGGTACCAGACTATTTTAAAATCACCACAGCAACTGACTCACTGTAAGCAGTCCTTTAGACCCAGGCTAAAAGGAGATATTTTTGTTTTAATAATATTGGGCATGATCTAAACAACCAAAGAGAAGTCATCTACACTGGACAGCAAAAGAAACTTGCCACTTCTGTCAAAGGCCACACATAAAAATTCACTCCATAGAAATAAACAATTTTTGTACACAGGTATGCTGCAATACCTCTCACTAATCACATGCCCAAAAGCAAGTGATTATTTTTCTAACAAAGAAGAAATTGACATGCACAACAACTTGGTTACTGAATCAAAAGTCACAGCATGTAACACAAAGCGCCTTACGTTTTAAGCAGAAATCAATGTCACAGGACGAAATAAAGAAGCCACAATCATTACTTTTCAGTATTATTGAAAGGAAGTTAGATTAAAGCAGACAATTAGATAGGCACACAAGTACCTTGAGCAGAGTCTGAAGAAGTCATCCACGACATCCGGGTGATTCCTCAAGCCCTGGGGCTGTCTTAGAATCTGAAAGGTGGGCACTATAAAAGCCTGCATGACACACAAAAAAAGGACTCAGGTCAACAGAAAAATCATGTCCAGCTGTGGTCTTGACAGAACCACGTACTGAATGCAGAAACTTACTATGATTTGCGGCCGGCACCTTCACAAGAACTGTCACCAGACCATTCACACGACCTGACCCCAGACGAGTCACATGACCAGTCACAAGGAACAGGCTGAACAATGACAAAGGAATGCCTTTGTTGCAGTTCACTTGAATAGCCTATGCCTCGAATTCAGACCGGTCTTGTAGGGTCTTACGATGGTTTTAAGAGGTCTAAACTACAAGACTGAGTTGAACTATCAAATCCCTTCACAAATTCAATCCACTTGCGTAGAACGCTTGAGAGGAGGTTTAGAAGATGGACGGTGCTTTATCTGATGAGGCACACTGTCCAAACTCTCTCTGAAATCTGTTCGAGCCAAACTTGTACTTTCCCACAACAAATCCAAGTAACAACGGGAACAGCAAATGTAACTTACTCGTAGCATGTCTATGATGCCTGGTATACAGCCTGGCTCAGCCCCATATTCATGAACTAGTATACTGCCAAGGTACAGGAAACACGAATGCTGATGCGCCTGGTAAATTGTCACCATCTACAAGTGAAAAAATACACCGTCAAAAATGCATCCATGCTCAGCGCTACACTCACATTTTCAGGAGAAGGCAGAACAAGTACAAATGGAGGGCTGGAGAGAAAAGGTACAATGGAAAAGATTCAGAAGTTATTTTGTCTGGAACAAAGCGGAAAATAAATTCTGTTTATTCAGTAATATTTATAGTACTGCCCAGGGGGTTAAAGGGAAAACCTCACCTGCTTGCTCCCCTGGGACTTGGCGAAGATTACACTGCTAAAATGAGCACTGGACAAGGACTCCAGACTAACGGTACGGTGATAATTCTGATTTCACCCGGCAGAGCATGTGCTTTTGTGCTATTGAGGAATGTGTGGTTTCATGACCAGATTGAATGGGTTGTAGCAGTTGGGAAGGGTTTCACCATGCAGAATATCCTTTTGAATGCATGTAAATGAGCCCTTGAGCAGAGTTTGACATCTCAACGGGGCATTTTGAATTTTTCCCACCTGTGTGACCAGCGGCGTCAGGAGCTGGGCCGAGCCTTTGCCCACACAGCGGATGGCAAAGCGTATGCAGCGGCAGCAGCGTTCAATGATGCGGATGTCGCCCTGGTATTTATTGCACGTGTTGGATAGTACTGGCCAGATTTCCAGCAGGACAGCTTGGCAGGGGTGTGTCTGCCCGTTGGTGATAGGGGGGTTTGTATTTCTGCGAACAAAGAAATGGAAAGTAAAATATAACATCTGAATCGTGGTCGTGGCAAAAGAGGGGGAGGGGACAAAATTAACTTCCTGGAAAAAAATGAGAAACAAATTAACATAACAAAAAACACAAATCACCAATCATCACATCACCAACGTACCTACAAAGAACCCCAGAACTGATCCCCTCTTCACTGCTAATGGTCAGTCAGTTTGATGCTTACAGCTTAATATCTCCCCCCAAAAAAGGGCTTTACTCGCTGCCTGGTAATGCTCATGATCATAATGTAAAGTTTTTTGGAGGTTGTCCACTTGTTTTTAAAACTCTGGGCTACAGGTATGTCAAGGCTTTGAAGAAAGGAAATCGTGTATTAACATAATCTAAATATCTGAAAATATGCTATTCAACCTGGCTTTGCATCTTAACTTCTCAACCTCTTCTGCAGGGGAGTGGGATACCTATGACCATTGCAATAGGAGAAACAAAAACAACTCCAGAAGACGAGATATTGTGGTGTATTTATCATGCGGAAAAGTTTGGGTGAATCTGCACGGTGTACAGGAGGCATCTGGAGTGGAAGTGACATACTTGAATATTGCAGCTATTCTATCCAGCCAAACCGTGGGATCACTGGTCAAGCTGGACTTGCCTTCTAGCTCTCCTTTGAGAACCTGTTGAAGGACCACAAAAGGCTTTGTGATTAGAAAAAAAGGGGAATCTTACTCTCACTCTTTCTGTGCTTAATTTTTTAAACATATTAAAAAAAAATTGATGTCGGACATCGAAAATAGTAATGGAAACACGGGTCACTGTAATTTAAATTTCATACAGAGGACACACAGCATAGAACAGCCATTCAAATCTCACATACAGATGGTACTTTGGGGGGGCGCAAACGTAGCAAGATGCTATTGACGTGTTTTTGCAAACATATCATGAAATCCAACAAGCTTTGAACTTGAAGTGAAATTCCCGAAGCAAGGACTTGCAAAGCGGAATTACTCTCCAAATCTCAAACACAGATGGTACAACTTTAATAGACAAAAACCGAGTAAACCCACCAAGCCTTGTCGAGGGGACAACAGATATCTCGTGGTGAAGATTCAGAGAGAGATTTCCATTCAAGGGAATGATCATCCTCTGCCTTTCCTCTACCTAAGTTCACAACAAGGTGAGTTTTTTTATTCCTCCTACCTGACTGAGGGGTGTCACCTGAGCAAACATTAGCTGCTTCAGACCTTCCTGAATCTTGTCTAGAGGCATCCTGGTCAACACTAACGCCGTGCCTGGAGAAATGCCAAGGTGTGACGTTAAACAGACGGTCAGAAATCTGACCGGACAATCACACCTTCAAATTTCGTTTTCATGAAACAGGAGTAAGTTGAATATCACTTTCCTGCTCATGCTACATTGTCAACGAACCTTTAAGCACTCCATGGTGTTGGATTCTTATTACTGTTTGACCCAAGACCCCAAACTCACTAATCACACTCTATTATGCACCACAGCGGAAAAACACATAATCACTATTTGTCCGATATGAAAGAACTCTTCAAACTGTGAAGAACTTTTGACTTATAACCTGCGCTGGTACTGTACTTTCCCTGCAAAACGAGACCATGACCTCTAAAACCCTAAGGCAAACAATCTCCAGCAGCACACATTCCACAAGTAAATGCATTGGCAGGATCCAAATGAGTTGATACCGTTTTTACCTGCGACCTTTCATACCTTCTATCAGGCCTATGGCAGCCTCTTGTGACAAGTTGAAGGCGTCCACCGCCTGCGCAATCTGCAGGAGCCCCTCTAGGTGTGAGACCAGGTGATCCTGGCACGTCATGCAGATGCTCTGGATGGAAGTGGCTGCCACGGAGGACAGGTGGTTGTTGCGTAGACCGCTGGTCAGGAAGTTTAGGATGGGTTCTGCGAGGACGGACCGAGAGTCAAAAATGAACACTTGGCTGGAAATTGGCCCCCAGTTGAAATGCACCCTCACCGGCAAATAAGAGAGAGGGTTGTTTTCAAACGGACTCGCACATGCACCCAGCACACACACAAAGACAGTACATTCACACAGAATGGTCACGTGGACTCCTTGCATCCTGCACCAAATGCTCCAAAACCTGTGCGAACACACGATGGCTGCCCACCAAGGGACAGTGACGTGCATCCACTCTGGTGTATTTTGACAGAATATCCGAACAAGTTGGAACAACGCATACGCGTGTGTAAATCATTTGCACACTGGGCCCACGCGCACCTTATGGCATTGAGAATGCAGGGGTCATTTTCCTACAAATCTGATGTCCTAGAGGAGATAGATACAATTTCCATGCTGCATTTTTACATCTTTGGGTGTGATAACACTAATCTAAGTAAGGGTACAGTTGTAAAAAAATCCTTTCACATCACAAGCTGACATAAAATCCCAAGTTTCATTTGTGATCATCCACAAGTCTGGTCCACCAACAAAAGGTGTTAAAGAAAAACCTGCTTCTGTCCTGGTAATTATTTCCCGCATTCAGTAAAGACTCCACAAGCTCTCAGTTCAAATTCTTGATGATTAGCTCCACTTATTGACTGCCACCAGAGAGAAAGTTTCCAAAACCCCTCAACTTTATACAGCTTTCACAATTGGCAACCACATATACGGTCATTCTTGGCACAGGTCAGTGATGTCTTTTCTAAACAGCAGCTGACGGTTTTGGAGAAGTGAGGCAGATTTACCTAGCGTCTGTGGGTGGTTATCAATCCATTCTGATAGTTCTCCTAACATTTGGATGCTGGTGTATTTGACGGCTACGTGGGTTTCCTCTGGGAGTGCAAGGATGGCTTGGATGACTTGTGGAACGACACCGTTCTCTTCACTAAAATGTCAAAACGTTATGTTATTTCAACTAAAAACAGGTTTTTCAGGGAAGACTGATTTGACATAAAGATCCATGTACTAACATCAACAGCATTTATTTGAAAAGCTATACCAATATCAGAAACCAATTAATCGAATTAAACAATATGACAAGTACTAAAAATGTATCAGTTTTAAAGCTGAGGTTTAAAGTAGTTTTCCACCAATTTTGTCATTTCGAATACAGGATTTCCTGTAAAGGACAGAGTTCTAGAAACCTTTGACAGTACCAGCATCCACTATTCACACCTACTGCAAATGAGTAATGTTGACAGTTGGATATCACCCTAAATATAAGACAAAGTACCCAAGGAAACTTACGGAAGAACATTCTTAGCGACTGATGACATGACAAACAACGAGGCCTCCGTTACATTCCACATGACAGCCGAACCCTGACTAGCTAGATTTCTGAACATCTGGAAACAAATTAAACGGTAAAGCGTCAAACCGTCATCCATAAAGTTTGCACAAGTATATCAAAATACGAGTTGCAGAGAGCCCTCTGCAGATCTTGCTCAGAGGCCATTCACCTGGAATGTTCTTCAGTGCCTCTACCTTTTTCATGCTTCCCAAGCGTTTTACCTGTGAGAAGCAAGTGGTTGACCCCACTAGGAAGATGACATCTTTGATGAGCTCTGAGACCCTGATCCTGAAATCGCCAAAGTCGTCGTTCTCATCCGGTATGCCTTCCTGTTGGAAAAAAAAAAAAAAAGAAAGAAATTCTTCTCAAATCCTTTGTTGTAAATACTATGATACACTGTGCACTTAAGTTACAGGTGAAAACTGGGCAAAATTTATTGTTTTAAGATGAATACGTCACACGCACAATTAGTGTGTAAAAGCTCGAGAACCAGCACGTGAACCAACACGCGCGCGTACTCCATTCGTTGGCACTGCACTTTCTGGTTCACAGTGACGTCACGCTTTGGTACTCTATACAGACCAAAAACATACTTTAGGAAAGGCAGCCTTATTTCTTCATACATAAAATTCAATTTTTTTTGTGGGAATCTAGAAGAGCTGATTACGTGGGTGACTTCCTTGGTTTAGGGAGGAAAAATTGTTTTTCATAGCCTGGTTAGACAGCAAGTGAAATGGGCGGAATTGGAAGTTTTTGAAGCATAGCGGACACAGTAGGTAGGCGCTGTTTGAAGTGGGTAAATTTGGAGTAAACACAGAAGATTTTACCAAAACCAAGTAGTCCCCTTCAATTGTGTCCATCATTCCTCAAGTGGGCCAACTGGGATCTGTACAACTGTGCAACAAAGCACAAAGTCCACCGTTGGCCAAGTCAGGTTGTTAATGGCTGTGGCTTTGTTAGCGTTAGCTACAGCAGGCAGCCATACCCACAGCCCCCAAAACCCTGCTGATCAAACAGCCTCTCCAAGCACTCAACTCACATGATCGGAATCCATCTGACAGTGGGTGCAAAGGGCGCTGACTAACCGCTCGATGTACGGCCGGTAGATCTCATTCAGCTCGTCTTGGCGCCTCTTGTACAGGATCTCCGACAGGCGGTAGAAGAAGTTGAAGGTGATCTCGGCTACTTCGTATTGGCAGTGGCCTACGCAGGTCAGTACCGCATCCAGGATGTTCAGATCACCAAGACCCTGACAAGAGACGAGGAGGACATTTGCTGGCAATTCTTCAGAAGAGCGTCTTTGAGATTTGGGCCTCTCACATGCGACTTTTTGCAAAGCGCACATAAGGACATCAGATCTGCAAACCTTGGCAACAAGAGTTAATTTCCAAATTCTAACTACCAGGGGAGTCAGGTTAGTCTCAAGGGGAATCACGTTGGCAAAGTGATTCTTTCCCAGCAAATTACCCCTGCAGCTTGAGTTCTATTCCTGGCTCGGTCCACTCGTGAATAAGGTTTTCTGTCCCTACTTGAGTCTGTGGGTTTTACCAAGACTATTTGGGGGGTTCCACCGACCTCTAAGACTGTGACTGCTTCTCCTTGTCTCCTCTGTGAGCTACAGTGCCTACGGCGCGTTTGAAAAATCCTTGGCTTCACAATCAGAAAGGCTGAGATAATAATAATGGAAATAATGAAAATATCGACGCGGCTCACCTGATTTGGCGTTTCTACCATGACCTCCATGAATGCTTCAGCAAGCTCTGTGAATATCCTACTGTAATTAATCGCCCTGCAATTTCCACAACAGAGCCAAATTATGTATTAGGAATCATGGCCCTTTTTCTGGATAAAAGAGTGCCTCTACAATGCTGTAACTAAGTTAAACTTTGGCATGCCACAATACAACAGTCGCATTATGCCACGTCGCAGGTAAGATATGCCACTTTAAAGTATTCTTTCAAGTACGCCACTCAACATCAGTACACCAAGAAGCAACCTCTTCATTGATACAAAACGGAAAACTTTAATAGTCATGAGACGAGCACCAAATATTTGACGTTCTACTGAATTCCTTATTCACTGGATTATTTTCTTCCCAACTATTCCTCCTAAAGCTCTCCCACACCAGAAGAAGCAACGGCTATAATAGAAATCAAACTGCTAGCACAATTGCCAATACTTATTACAATGCAGGCCACGTGAGCGATCCTGATGTTATCAACAGAAGCTGCGTTTGAAGATTACAACATCCATAATACTTTCATCTAATTTTGGTAGGCCAAATTCTGATTCTTACTTGTCCACATCTTCACCGGCGACAACTAACGCGTAGGACTCGGGCAGCTGCATGATTCCCCTGTACAGCGTCTCGGCCAAGGTCAGGTGTTCTTCGATGTCCTCCATGGCGTAGAGGGCAGAGCAGATGCAGTCGCTGGCCGCCTCGTGTAGCATGGATGGCGTGTCGGGTTTCTTCTAAGAAAACGAAAAATAAAAGAACTCAAAGAGCAAATGAGCTAATGGATGTTGTCTGGAGAAACTTTGTGCTGTCTTGGAAACCCGACCCCAGTGGTACTTTGACTAATCACAGCGATGATTTACATGTATACGCGTCCGACACGCAAGCAGGCAAGTTCAGCATGCCAGCACGTAGGCACATGATGAATGGCTCAGGAACATGCAGACGTTGCTGTGGAGAAGAGCAGGGTTATTGCCAAGGTTACCAGAGGACAGGGCTTACTGGATCAGTTGACAAACTTTGAAACATACTAGCAGCAACATGCTCGAGTTAAAGAGCTGCATACTGCAATATGGCCCACTAGAATGCCACACAATGAACCCTCAGATGCCGAAAAAAGAGACAAAATCAAATTCAGGAGCATTTTGGCCAGTTTGCACTTATTTGTAATGCTTTCCCTTCAGGGAGCTTGCAACATGGGCTGGAAAACCTTTTGGCTGTTGGGCCGTTTGCCGGTATCTGCCCACTGACCTTCAGTTCGCAAGCATGCTTTACCCTGTTCAGGACTGTCTCAAGTGCACCGGTCAGCAAGTCGCAGTTCAAAACCAACGTCGGTCTCACATAGGGAACAATGATGCACCGTTCGGCCAAACCAGAGAGTTCTGCAGTTGCCTTTAACAAGAACACGAGCAACTCACCAGGATATCAAAGAGCAAGTTGACCAGCGTGCTGCCGGCCACCTCGTTGCTGGGGATGATCCCAGGGTAAAACCAGCTGGCTAGACACTTGAAGATCCTTCCCAAGAGACGATGATCACCGATGTACGTCTTGCAGCAAGCTTCCTGCCGAAAAAAAAAAATGGAAGTAAAATGGAATCAAGCTGAAACAGTCTAGTAGCATTCGCAACCACCTGTCGACACAACACACCAGCAACATGGCCCACAATGGCTCTTGCAATACAACCAAACCAAAAGCTTTCATCCACAGAGGACAGACACTACCATGATTGGGCATGAGAGATAAAAATCGGAAGAAAGAGAAGGATGCATTGCCAAGCAAAGCAATGCATTTGGAGGCAGAACAGGTAAAAATGTGCAAGTCAAGTACAATGGCTAAGACTAAGATTTTCTGTTGATGACTTGATGCGTATAGACTTCAGATCATGTGCTGAATTAGCTCTGCATAAATGGTCACCCACATTGCTATAGTGCTAGTTTGACCATATTTGCCCACAAACTTTGATGGTATACATGGCTGCGTCAGTGGTATGCTGGCCATGCACACATGCCACATGAAAATCAGTAAAAAATCTTGCTTAGGAACAGAGTTGTATGAAGCAGCGCTGCACATTTATCCAGATATGTTATGGACTCATAGATCTCCATTTGACTTGGGCTGCTCAACCGGGAGTTAGGGCATGTTTTAATCCAAAAATGTAAAGAGCCAAAGAAATCTGTGGAAACAAGGAGAAATCTCGTGCCTGCATGATGTGGATGACGGTGGGGGCAGCCTGGGCCAACTCCTGGGTAAACTCTTCCCTCCTGTTCATGCCGAGGCGCAGCGACCGGCTGTGGACTTCCTCGGGGAGGACCGTCAGCAGCTCCAGGAGGATGAGAATCTGGGAGGCATCGGCAGCGAACCTGCAGGTACCAAAATGAAACAAGATGCGCATCCATGAGACACCCTCTCAAAAGATGAGATCGTATTAAGTCTTGAAGATCGGCTTGACCATTTCAATGGCATGATTGCAAACAATGACACTGGCAAGGTAGAGGAGCTTGGCAGAGGGTCTGTGCTATGAATATTTACTATCCAGACATACACTGGCATGATTGTGACCAATGACACTGGCAAGGTAGAGGAGCTTGGCAGAGGGTCTGTGCTATGAATATTTACTATCCAGACATACACTTTACGCACCTCCACACTCCTAAATGTATGAAAACCATTTGTATTCCCTTTTTGGTTAACTTCAATTGTTTTGAAATTTAAACAAAATCTGCTGAATTCTGTATACAATATTGGGTAATGTCTATAGAGGATTTTCGGTCCCATGATTTTTGATGGTCAGCATTCAATTTATACAGATGTGCGTGGAATTATGCGCACCTTCCAAGTCTCTCAACATTCTGGCATACATGAAATTGCTGATAGAACTACACAGATTTGAAAATGTACGCACCTCCTGGGCTAGGTACATGTACGTTTCAGGAAATGCCTTTGCCGATCATACATAGTGAAAACCTCTATACTATTTCGCACACTCAAGTGATTTCCATATAGTTTGTGTATACAAGAGGGTTGAACTTGTTTGGGAGATTGAGCATGTCTGTAGCTCTCAAACATGTCAAGTACAATGTAGCTATGGTGCCTGGCCGAACACTGCAGCAAATATCGCTCTGCACTACAATGTGATCAGGAAATGCAGAACAAATCTTGAACAAATGACCACTTGTACAATTTGTAAAGGACTCTGGTATGCTGTTTTAAAAACTTGGCATTTGTGGTCAGTAAAAACCACATCAGTGTGTGGAATAATCTAATCAGCAAGTAAAAGAGGGCACAATCTCATGTCCAGAGTGAAAGTCCACTTTATTCTGCTGGGGTGGAGGACTGATTGGAGACTTCCAAGAAGTTTTTTCTTGAAGTTTGGGAAGTGACCCACTAACCTCTGAATCAGATAATTGGGGGAGTTCTTCCACAGGACCATCTGTAGGGCCAGGTCAGAAAGGGCCAAACAGAGCTGGGTCAGGATGATCTGATAGTTGGGGTCGTTAAGGCTCTCGATGTGATTGATGAGGGAGTCCCTCAGGGCTTGGTGAGAGTCGGGCGGCAGCTCGTGGAACGAGTATTGAACCTGGCAAGCGAGAAGTTAGACCATGCCGAAGAAAAATACACCAGTGAAGTCTAAAGGAGTTTGAGACAGTAAAATACCATATGCATCTAAGGAACATGCTTGTCCGTGGTAGGCAAGCAATTATGATACGAGTATAAACACTGGAGGAGGTACATGTACATACGTGTCTAGTACTCATGGACATAAGTAGCACTGTCCTCTTGGCCAGTTTACAAAAACCTACATGACTTAAGCTGTGTTCCCATTGAACTTTTTTGGGTTAAACTTACCGCGCCTTTTACTGTTGAATTACAAAATTAAATCTAATGGGAACACACGGTAAACTAATGTTCCTGTCAACTTACCGCAATCGCGATGTAAAACTAACAAGCCAAAAACGGTCACAGAAGATTTCTGTGCAGCCATGTTAAGTTAGCAGGGGCGCAAAAAAGTCCAATGGGAACAGTTCCCATACAATGCAGATTGGCCACGACCATGCTAAACCTACACATACAAACCAGACTACTGCCTACACAGAGATCGATAGCAGGCACACGAAAATGGTCGTATGGTTCCCAGTCTCCAGCTCTGTGTGTACAATACAGCAGCATACCGTGCACACACAGTGAAGCGTGCCCGGATAAAGCCACACCACTTTGTGTACGGGGCTTTTCCTTTTATACATGTAATATGGATTTGTTTTCTTTGTGGTAGATTTGGCCAAATTCGTCTGATTTTGTCTTTGTCTGTGTCAGATTTTGCCAATTTCGTCATGATTTGTACAGTGCAGGCAATGTAATCAGCTGGTCTTATTAGGGCTCACACAGCGAATAAACATTCCGTTACGGTAAAAAAAAAGGTCCACGTGGGAATGCACAGTAGATTGACATGAAGGAATGTCACGGTAAGTTTCCGCACGCCCGCGGAAGAAAAGTCCAATGGGGAACACGGCTTAGCACGTACATGTACCTATACAAAGACACTTGCACCCTCTGAAAGGATGCCTTCATTTTCAATCAACAAAGTGAAAAAGGCAAGTGAATAACACATAAGGGTCTACTCTGGCTCAACTTGATACATGTCACTTCATCCAACTTTTGTACATGAGTCGTGCAAACACACCTTTGATCTCATTGTCTGAGCAGCAAAATAGCAGACCTCCACATCTTGCTTCATCCTTAAGAGCTGGTCCGAGATCTGCCAGGAATGCATCTGTCAACAGAAAGGAGTAAAACAGCCAAAGTGAATAAAAGTGCAGCGAAAACTACTGGCACGTCTTATCATGGGGAAAAGAGGACATTCTTTAATTGTTTTTACTTGGCAATAGAGTACCGAAGTGAATACGTCACGCGCACAATTAGTGTGTCAAAGGCATTAGCGTGACAACCAGCGCGTGAACCAACACTTGCGCGTACTCCATTCGTTTGCACTGCACTTTCTGGTTCACAGTGACGTCACGCTTTGACAGTGACGTCTATACTTTAATGTTATCTGAAAAGTTTAGAAAATTACACTCCTGACAAGCACCAATTCTTGTTGCGTACAGTACGTTTTTCTTATGCTTAGAAATGTACCTGTTAAATCTCTCAACCCTGAAACGTGGGATACACCTCCCCCCCGACATTTGTTCCAATATCATGTCAACACATTTTGTTCCACTTTTCAAGTCTTCAGGAGTTTTTTTCAAGTGATGTCATACAAACATTTCAGTACAGATTTCACTGAAACTTGGATGTGCTGCCCATTTTTCGCAGGTTTTTTTTCAAAAACCGGTAACTTTTCCCATTGACGGTGATCAGCGCAAGCGGACAACCGGATGCAAGTCCAAAAACTATCGGCAAATGATGGTACCAACTTCACCCAACGTCAGGTTCAACTGAAACTTCTCAGATATGCATAATAATCTGAAGGCTTCTACATGTACATGTACTGTATACATGAACCGGTATGTATACCAAGTTTCAAAAAGATCAGGTATGGGACAGCATGGTCCCTGTGAGACAGTCCGATTAAAAAGGGTGTCTCTGTTTAAAGGTGTGGGAGGGGTTGTATATGTAATGACTAGACTGGCATTGCAGGGGGAGATGGAGGAATTTAGTCATTTTATGCCAAATTATTTCATACCGGAGGTAAACATCCTCTGGTCTGGGACAGACTTGTTCGTTGAATAGGCAAGTAGACATACATGTAGAGTAGAGGAAAGCTTCCAGACTTCACAAATAGGCAAATCCTAGGGAAATCTTTTTTGACGGGAGGCAAGTTTGTCAGTGATTTTCACACTGGGAGGATTATGAATAAGGTCATCCAAGCACCCAAGGACGGGGCAATGACATACATGGGGAAGGGGGGACGATGAAGGATCAACTTGATTACTGCCCTGTCCTTGGGTGTGAGCCCATTGAGAGACTAGCGCACAGTTGAAACTCTGCCAGAACTGGCAAAGAATCAATTCTAAGCTGACAACTGCGCCCCCCTCCCCAAAGTTTCCAGAGGAAAAACTCTGTGAAGTGGCCGACTCTATGAAGCCTGGTTTCCATATCAACGCGAGAAACTCAGAGAGCAATGCAATTAAGATGCAAACCGCAACAAAGACAAATGGTGACGTGTCAAACGGAAATGTCACCTCTAACGTAAACCAGCCCGGACCGATTCGGCAAAGTTGAGCCCGATTCAACTTTGCCGACTGTCTTTGTCAAGTCGCTGAGTAGGCCAATACAAACATGCACGCTGGCATGACGGGCATACAACAGTGTTTCTCTCACTTAGTACAGTACCACTCATTTTATCCATTTTCTCCTTATCACTAGTATATGCAAGCCCCGATTGCCAACAAAATAGCTGATCATTCAGAAACTACATCAAACTGGAGTATCTCCTTGGCTTTAAGAGGCAACACTGCCATCTAAAAAAGGCATTTTTTGCAAAACTTTTCCGAGTCTCACATGCCAATTTGTTTTTGTTTTTTTTGGTGGAATGACATCGCACAGCGTCTCTTCCATGATTGTATGCATCTTGGCGTCTTGCTAAAAGTCTGTGTTAAAAATGACCATATGGAAACCAGGCTCAATTCTCAGACAAGAGAGTCTGATCTAGAAATGAACATGGTTTAGGAGAAAAGAAACAGATTGGGAACTGTATGCAAGGCACCTCAGAGTGAATCTTGTTTGTATCTGTGAAAACTGCCTCTTAAGAAGACATGTGGTAGGTAGTTGCCATGAAGGGTACAAGTAGCTGCAATCAATTTGTTTTCATACAAACCTTCAAAATGCACTTTTGTGTCTCAGTTAATCTAATTTTCAACTTTTGGTTCACAATTTCAAAGGGTATTTCACTGCCTTTTGGGGGTTTTAAGAGCTACAGTGTAAGTAAATGAAGAAAGTCTCAATGTTACATTGGTTTGCCTACAAAAAAGTCCTGCATTTTGGTAGATTTTTGAGGACTTGGTTTTCTTCTCTTTGCTCATTCGTTGTTGTTTATCTGTATAACAATATGAGAATATTAATCCCTCCCTCAGAAATGTTTACCGTTAGGAAATTCTGGGTTCACAATTTGAACAGAACAGAACATGCACTGAACCCTGTCTCCCCTAGATGACTTCACAGCAACAGCGCCCTCAGTTGTCCAGGAGAGCACGGAAAGTTTTAACTGTTTAAAAACATGTTCGCTTCGATGCATTTAATGCATTTAACTAAGTAGGAAAGAAGAAGAGTTGTCATACACTGAAGAAGATTACACAGTTGAAGAAAAACTGTGTCTGAGAAAAAGTCATCACAGCAACACTTTAAGACAGCAAAATATCTATAAATAACGACATGTATGAAACAGCGATTCTTCACCGCATACATGCATTAGCACAGAATAAGGATACAAATCATAAATCTAATTCGACTGGAAAGTTTTGCGGGAAAGTTTGAGTTTTATATGTTTGAATGGTAGGTACGTATACATTAACTCCACTACTCGTATTTGTGCATCAAGATTCAAACTAGCCCTTTTTAGCAGCCAAAATTTGCATGCAACCTGTCCCATGACCACACAGATCTTTCAAATCCCGTGTGAATTCCAAATTATCATATATTGAAACAAAAATCACATCCTGCAAGTTGCCCTTAGTCATGACAGCAGTGGGTCGTCAACTGCATGGTAATTAAGTCTGGAAATACCCGACAATCCTCCTGTGAATTGGGCCAGATTTCAGGTCCAGATAAACCATTCCCTAGTTGTTTACAAATAGAGCATTTCCAGCCAACCGCCTTGAGTGAGTTCTGTAAGTCTGAGATTTAAATTGCGGCTTCTTCCTGTGCCCTCCAATACTGTTCATTTAGGAGGCCTGCATCTAAATGTCGTCTTGCCAAAGCAATTTTAAGTCTTACCGGTAAGTTACACCATATTGCACCTTGCCCGCCTACATCCCATGAATGGAAATTCACTCTTAAAAGCCAAAAATGTGCATACAAACATATTTTCAGATGGGACAGACATGTTAAAATGACAACATTTTTTATTGAAACACCACACATGTACTTAACCACATCGCGCCGGGGGCATTTATGAATGTTGATGATGCTGGGACGGGAGAAGTTTCAGTTTTTTTCTGTTTTCAAAATTCTTTAAAAATTCATATCTTCATTAACTGGACACTTACGCCCACACAAAAGACTGTCTGATCTACTCTAATCTGACAGACAACATCTATTGATGCTGGAGTATTTCAGCCAGGCCTGCCTCCTTGTAAAAAAGAGCCCAGATTGTGCGGTGTTACGTAATTTTCTTTCGTTCACAAAACTGGCACAGTACGCTGCTGACCTCTTTTCAATAGGGGCCAGATTAGCCTGCAGCGGCACTGTGTGGCTCATTGCTTTTGTCCCCGGTGGCAATTCGCTTGCGCTGAATGCCCTAAACTATGGTATAGTGTTCCAAAACAAGGCTGCATTATCTCCACTATTGAGACTGAAAAATGTTGGTAGTTCCCAGCAGCCTGGTCTTTTGTTACGAGTACAGTCTTTTGTTACAGGCCCAGTTCCCTTCATCCAATTTCGGAGACCCCGGCCACGCGTATAAAGAAAACGTGCCCAAAAATGGAATCCCTGGCGGCGAGTGGTTAACCATTTTGACATACCAGGTATTTCAAATAACAAAACATCATTAATTTCCAAACTGCTTCAGTACTGATAGGGGCAGGAATATCAATAGTGATATTTGGCATTTTCACAAAAAGATGTGAACATGCCTGAACACGTATTCATAAATACCTGGGACAGTTTTTCTATTCCTATTGGACAAAATGAGTCATGTGACCAGGTATTAACATTTGATAATGCCCGCTGAGAAGTGATAATGCATAAATCACGTGCTGGCATATGGATAAAGACAGTTTAATCAGGTCTGATTGGTCAGGAGTCTGTATGCATGCAACGTGCCGTGTCATTCAAGGGGATTCTATTGGACCATTTTCATAGAGAATATACCACAAAATGGATGGGGGTGTTCAGGAAAATTAAAGTAAAGTTTTAGAACAAAATCGTTGGAAATCCTCCTTTGGAATCTCTGAATAAAAAGGTATTTATTAATGGGAATAAATACGTGCTTGGCGAGTTTTAAACTAATAAACGTTTAAGACCTTCCTCAGGAGAACCAATCCTAATAAATGCCCGAGCCGTAGTCGCATCCATTCTCCAGAGCCGGTCTTAGCACATATTTGTTCCCTCATTAAAATTGCCTGGAAGGGCACAAAGTAAAAGTAGGTCAGCTGAAATTTTCCTTTTCACAAAACAGGAGTGCCCCTTGCGTATGGAAAAACACATTGAGCAAAAACATGTGGGTTTTTTGTTTTCATGAAAGGACAGGCATCTTTAATAATTAATATTGGCTTATGAACTGGTGAGTTCATGCCTGGGTTCACATAAAAGTTTACCTTTCAAAGCATCGTGTGGAGATTTCTTTACTATATAAAGTTGTTGCAAATGAAAAGTTTTTTCAGTTTTAAAATAGGCAGAACTTTTCTTGTGATTATCTGGAATACGCTTTTTCTTCAAAGCCCACATTCCCGTCCCTTTGTCGAAAGAATGTATGTACATGTAGAACTCAAATATAAAAACTGGTAACGTTGTAAACCAGCATGAAGTCAAGTGTTGGGCCACATACATGTACATGCACATGTGCTGTAAACGAGAAACGAATGTGACCAGTTTCTTCAGATAGGAAGAGGGAAGTGCACAGGCAAATGTATGTTTCAGAGTCATGTGACAACCTTGTCCCCTTTATGGGGACCCGACTAGCAAACAAAGCAAATGTGTACACATAGTGAAGATTGTTGGTGCAATATCTCAATTCAAGGCAAATTCTCCACTGCGCCGAGGCACTTAAAAAGTACCCCTATAGTTTCTTTTGAAAATAGGAGTCTGTATGGCCCAAGAAATTGTGTGATTGTGTTATTACGGCCCAGGATCAACTCCCGAGATTCAGGGGCTCCCATTTGAGGGCAAAGTAGGCAAAAATGCTGTTGTAAAATTGTCCGAAGAGCCTGAGAAAGTGGATGAATGTTGTTTGAAAAATGGCTGCTCGGAAGACTTGGGAACGTTTACTTTTTGGGGGGTAAGTTTGATTTTGGTGAGTTATTATTAAAATTGGTTAAAACCCACTAAAATTTGGAAATCAAATGACATCTGAAGGACCTGACGACACACTGTCTTTTGTTTGAGAGGCCTCAGGGACTTTGGTTACCCACAACGAGGCTTTAAACTTTACGATCTTACACTGTTTTCAATGGGGCTTGAATACGTGCTGTGCAACCTTGTGGGTGCCTTGCGAGGACACAAGGTTTTCCCCTCTTTTTATAAAAATAGATTTGGGAGGCATTTAAGGGTTAGGGTTATCAACAGCAAAAGAAGCAGAAACAGTAATAAGGAAATCATCCACAAAACTTAAATAAAATATGTAAGTCTTCATAGTTCAAGTAGAGAGCCTGGGTAAACTTTTAATGGGTCATGCTATCTGACATCAACAAGCATCAACGAGCACCAATAAAGAATCAACCAACTATTCAGGTATTTTCCAGTCCTTTTGCCTTTATCCATTCAATCTAACGGGCTCGCTCTCACAGTCGCCATCTTTAAAATAAGGTCGTTGTACATTACGTCACTTGATCCAGCATCATTTCGACAGCTCTTCCATGTCAAGACAGCTAAACTGCTGCCAAAGTTTTTGAAGAGCCCATTGGCACATGTAGTGTCTTATCGCCCAGTCCGTGCATTACATATGTCTTGACATGGAACAGCCGTAGAGATGATGAGGGGTCAAGTGTCGTAATGTTCAACGACCTTATTTTAAAGATGGCGACTGTGAGAGCATGGAGTTAGGAAAACCTACACGGTGAGAGCGAGCCCATTCGATTGAATGGATAAAGGCAAAAGGACTGGAAAATACCCGAATAACGTTAGTGAAATCATGGTTTTTAGAAAGCGGAAAGGTCAAGAATCGTGTTCTTGTGCAAAAGAAACTGCGCCCACGATGATAAGTGGTTGCACCGAAATGTTCAATACGCCGACACGAAATTGCGTATACAGATGTGTGGGTAAGGATGGATCGGGAGTGTGAGTCCGTGCCATACTAGTGGAGCTAGTACTAGTACTACTACTAGTAGTGCTAGTGGGGCTAGCCCTAGGCATGCTGGCCTCTATTTTGTATTAAAAATACGAAGTGGCTAGGTATTTAATGGAAGAATTGCATAGACAGGTTGTACACTAGTAAGACTAAAATCTGTTTCTTCCCAAAAAGTTCCTCCCCCACCATACCCACCCTATCAAAAGGGAAGCATGGCTGCTCGCGCCTGCTGTCAATTTGTCCGGAAAATGGGCACAACCACTCAAGACGTGCATGTTTACCTGTTTTATTTACGGAACTGAACGAGAACTACTCACCGATCGTTGAAATTCATGAAGCCACCGGGACGCTCTTTCCTTCTCCGACGCATCGGGGTTGTGATAAAGGGCTGTGACGGCCTGGATAACCGTCTCTATGGTTGGTGGTGCCTCCATTTCGTGCACAAGTGAGGAAATTTCAACTCCCTTGCTCAAGCAGACCGATCCCTCTCACACAAGCTGACTACATGTAGGCCTAGTACGGTACAATCCTTGAACGCGCAGGCACGTATTTTTATACGCGTGACATTGCAATGCGGTTTCGTCGCGCCGTGTGTGTGGCGGCGCTATTGCAGCCACTGTGTTACTTGCACAGTGGCTACATGTACATGTACATGCGCATTACTGCTGCTGCAGGCTGCTGTAGCCAATGTTGTCTTGGGCCAAAGACGGCAGAACTCCATCGAGCATACCGCGCCCTCTCATGACTTCAATTTCACCAATCGATCGAGTCCGCTTTCGAGTTCTGATGTCTTGGCCCAAGACTACAGCCAATGTCGATCAGTGGATCATATTCGGCCTTAGGCTGTCTGAAACAGACGTTTTCAAGTTTGTCTACGGCAATTTACCGTAAAATACCAACTTCAAAGCCATGGCCGCAAAACAGCCGATCCGGCGTTCCTCTACCCCTAGTATGGGTCCCTGCCCAAAGATTTCTTGACGACTCTTGATGGAAAATCTTAGGGCAGGCATCGCCCAGGGATATAAATAGATATGACGCACGGGTCGGGGTCACAAGTTGCGAGCCCAGTTGTTTTCGGTTTCACTAAAGTGGTGCACCCTGTATGCGTGGGCATTTACAAGTTGTCGTCAGGTACTGATTTCAGCCAAGGCAACCTTCGACTTCAGTGTAGAGTCAAACACATGTGTTGTAGGATCAACAGCTGCCATTAGGATGCGGGAATCATATTGGCTATTTCCGGAAATGGAGGAATTCCTCCAGTCTTTTTCACACGGACGTATAGGTGATACCAGCCCCTTGATTCTTAGAGTTGTCAGCATCATCAGGTCTGGTATCCAAATTAGATGATTATTTCAATGGGTCCCGAGTTGGGCCAAAAGAGGGCGCAATTACCGTAGCAATGGAGGCCCCTTCGCTGGTTCACGCCGAACGACAGTGAAATTGAAGTGTTGCAGTGGCGTTAGTAAGAGGGGTTTGCGATAACACCATGCAAGGTTATCTCCTTTGAGTATGTGTGGTTCTGAAAAGAACCGGAGGGTATTCATCTCAACGATGCAGTCGCATCGCTACAACAAAATGAACGCTTCCCACTAGCATGCTCTTTTCAACCGATGAGGGGGTGCTTCAAATCGAGGCAGATAACTTAACCTCGCGCGTATTGAGCTTGGTCATGCGCTGGAGGAAAGATATATTGTTTTTCATGTAGCTGTATAAACGTTAAATCACCAACCCTATCCGGTCCAAAGACATGCAAAATTATATGCCTGGTCCTCCCTGAGTTGAAGTGCACCGTCACGCGACAAAAGAGAGACATACGGTGTACTATCGACCCGACGGCACGACAACTCCCTTGGATCGTGCCGTCCCGCCGTTCCATCGCTGCGTTGTCATCACACACACACACTTCGAGTCGTGTTGTCTTTTTTAGTGTTATTTCCATCTTGCATATTTTCTGCCTAAAACAACGCTCCTTCCGTTGCCCGTCTTTCCGCAAAGGATCATTGTTTCATCGTAGACACGCACTTTCCTGTTCGCTCGGGTGAGACAGCCTTACCATTATAACTATCAGCCGGGAGAGAGACTTTTATCAGAGCTGTTTATAGACAGAATTGCGACATGAGTGTCTCAGTTGTTGCAACCAAATGCGTCAGTGCACATGGACAATAGCACACATTATTAGCTAAAAGCTGTTCTGCACATAATAAACAGCCATTGTTTCTTCAGTTCAAAGTTGGCAATAATCCCTCTACAATAACGCCATAGCGCCCTCTGTAGATGGACATACTTCTTCATAGCTTGATTCTACATCACAGAAGCAATTTGAGTGGGGTACTTTTGTGTTTGTCCCCATCGGCAAATTCCTTACCATGCTGGATCTTTGGAACCCTTCAGCGCCTGACGACAGCCAGCATACTGCCAGAAACGTTGAGCTCTCTGATGTTTTTGGCCTTTTGAAACCGTTGCTGTGATGGAGACCCCTTAAGACCATCACAAAAACCCACAAAACCCCTACAAGACCTCCATTCTGAGTTTAAATCACAAACTATTCATCAGATGAACTGCAATCAAACATTCGTTTGTCAAGTTTCATCGTTTTATTGTTTTTACACCTTGTGACTTGCATCTGGTCTAGCATCTGATCTTGTGTCTGGTCTCATGATGGTCTCGCCTATAACACTGCGCAGAACTGGCTCTTTCAGAGCCTTATTTGCTCACAAAAGAAATTTTCCTCAGGGTGTTACCGCAAAATTAATTATTGTGTGGTTTTCAAACTGGGAAGTCGTCTATTCTGATTGAGGCATTCAAACGCTGAAAGCTGCTTCATATGCAAGTGGAGGACGCAAAATTCCAGTGCCACAAAACCTCTACAGCGAGTTTTCTTTTTACGAGGAAAATATTTATTTTACACTTTTCTTTGGGTGTTTTCGAAACGCGTGGATTCGACTGAGACTTCGATTTCGCTGGTTCCAGCCATTTTGAAGCAACGTTGTTGGAAACCCGATTTTCACGCTCTGACTGGAACCAGCGAAACTGAAGTCTAAGCCAAAAACCAAAACAGTTTTTCAAAGATACATTCGACTTTAGTATAAACTCCACTCTGAGCATACATTTTTCGGTGTGCTAATTGATGGGCTAGACAGTTCTTTAGGTTGTCATAAAATCACAGATTTCTCAAAAGCCTGTATGACTACTAAAAGCAAGCGATGGTCCTGACGAATTTATCTTTTAACATTCTATTAAGTTTTGTCCTGTTTTGCTGGAAGAGTTTTCTTGTGCATTTTCCTATTGCATGGCGCTCCCTAAATAAGATTGTAATACATACAATTATGTTGAAATCGTCTATGCTTCCCTCTTCCAGAATCCACAATTAGCCTGTTCGGTATTCCAACAACGCAGGCCCCAAATAAAGTCCGTCTGGGGTCATTTGGAAACAGCTGGATGCGTGCGCGAGGTCTGGCCTTAAGCGCAGCCCCGCGCGAAAACTTGCACATTAATATTGGCTCAAACCAAAATTTGTTACATAACCTTAAAGATCTTGTTGTGTATAACAATCCACGTAGAAAACGAAGCGGGCGTCTGATTTCAATATTTGCTCCTCGCCCAACTTGCTTGCCATAAGTCGGCAGTGTGGTTTGTTTAGTTCACTTCTGAGCGAATTTGATTGTGATGCCACTTGTTCAGTTCTCTTCATTTGCATGTTCACTTTGATTTTCAAGAGTTCACAATGTTTGTGAACTTATTCGAACGGCGGTGTTCAAATAAAACGCATCCATTCGTCATTCAGTTTGGTACATTTTCGATTGCATTAATCTTGCCGAAAAGGTGGCTTTAGAGCTGTATTTGTTTACTTCGTATTTTGAGTTCTGCCTTTTTATGTGTCTAGGTCCATATTTACGAACGTAATTGCGTCCGCAGTTCCCCTACCGTCGTATTTCTGTGGGATAGTTCATCTGTAGTAAATATCAACTGTACTGAAAGCATTATTCTGTGTCATTTGCATATATGAAGTATTTAATTCACAGCTTGACTGAAACAGGCCCAGTCATCTTTGCCGTGACGTGCATCAAAAGCCAGGAATTTAGCTGGCTGTTATATAGGCTGGCTCACGCTCCTCCAATACTCCGACCTCCGTTGATGTGTGAATGCAATATAAAAATCGAGAAAAGGAGAGAGACAGCGGCCAGACGTTTCCGTACGTAACTATGACTAAAACACCACGGACCTTGGTCGATCTGAACGAAAGGAAAATATGCATATACATGCACAGGTTGATGCTACACTGGTGATGCGGGTATCTATCCGGGCGATTACACACGAGCGATAGTGCGGGCGGTACGACGCAATGATCTATAGTGACATCGAAAATGAGATGATTTTTGTGTAGGGTTAGGGCCGGTGTAATATTTAACATCGTGGTTCTGTTTATTGCTTCTCTGACCCACATTGAGTACCCCAGCATACGCCGTCTGGCTACGGTAGGCAGCACATGAGTCAGAATTTTTGTCTGCGCTTCCATTTGACGATAGCAGTGATACAAAGTCGAGTTTGCCCCGGCTGGCATAGCCGGGACCAGGTGTCGTATCCGAGGACAGCGAATTACTTGGACCATGTAACGAACGTGTGAAATTACACAGAGAGACAAGTATCAAGTGGGGTCCACAACCAACGCCGCGTGGTGGTTGGCACTTGTCCTGCCTAGGAGCTGCGTCAAAGAGAGAGGGATCGATTTGGCAGTTGAAGGTAAGGGAAGTATTTACGAATATTACTTTGTGGGGAAGAAAGTGACATTTTGAAAGAGACACCGAACAGTTTGTCGACTTCTTTTGATTGTAGTCAAACTATAAGGCGCTGTTACGTGCTTCGCGAGCCCGACATGCCTGGGGGGGGAGGTTTCTCCCCCTGTAAGTTTCTACGAGTCCAGTCTTTCAATATCGTGAACATCAACCAAAGTTCGATTTTCCCCCGTAGATTGCTGCAGATTAATCCCAGGCCATAACAACACCTTCTTTCACGAAATGACATTATATAAGGTCGTGATATTGAAGGATTCCCCTATTCTGGAAAACTCTGGCAACTATAGCCTGTAGGGAATGTAAGCAGCTGTACATTAAGCTTGCATATCAGTGCCCAAGGGAATTCGCTATACAGTCCTGAAAGCTTGTAGTGTCGACTACATGAATCACACAAACTTACGATAGCATGCCAGACGGCTCCAAATGGATATTTTTTGGTGATACGATTGTCCGGTTTTTATTTCATCCGTGTTACAATCCCCAAGGGATTTGCGAGTACCGTTTCTTAAATGCTGGCGCTTTCAATTCCCAAAAGCGCCACTTGTACCGGGGGGGGGTTCTCCCCCTGCCTCGCTGAATCCTCCCCAGCCTGCAATCCAATGCCTGCGCCTGCCCTCTGATTCTACATCTTTCCATTCGTCTGTCTGGAATTGGGAGTAATTTCGAGAAGAAAAAAAAAAAAACAGTAGTTGGACCCGCTCCGGTCACAGGTTATAAAAGAACACAGGTGCCAGGCAAGCTTCGCGCCAGCACTTTTCCGTTCATCTGTTTTCAACATGTACCTGCATTTATACGGGTTTTTAAAATGGAAAAGGATCACCGAGTCGGCGCATTTTCTGCTGGTTTGTTTTTAAAGGGACTGATGGGTGTATGATGTGGCTTTTTCTCGCCAAAATCATTTTATCTTTAAGCGGACCGGATGTTAGGTAAATAATCATGAAAACAGTTCATATGTAGCGCATAATACAATGAAGTCTCCACACGCTAGAGAAGAGTGACCAGACTGGGACAATTGTCGAGGCATTGTGGAAGATTGTACAGTAGTTCAGGTGCAGGGAATTGGACGGCACGTTATAACCTCGTGATTTGGCCAGAAGTAGAAATGAAGTGGAAGTATCTTTGTTGCTGGAGCGAAGACTCCTTGATGGATGATCTTGGCTCATTAATTCTTAGAGATAATCTGGGACTGTTTCATGCGTGCGTTGAATTACCCGAGGTTTTAACTGGTAACCAATGTAGCTCATGTAATGTTGAGGCAGTGGGTTTATATAAGTGATCTGGTAATTATCCTATAGCCGCGGATTTTGTGTTCGTCAAGTTTATTGAGTTGTGAGTCTGGTAATCCGTTGAGAAAGGATGTCGTACGTGTAAGTTCAAACTATAAGACGATATTTTCGTTTCACTGGATGTTGGGACTCTTTTCCAGTAGCGTAGCTAGGGGATGCAGAGTGACAGGGTTCAGCGGAATATAGAAATTAAATGCAAAATCAGAGCATTAATGAAAGCAAAATACTGACTAGATGAAACGGAACGGCAAAATGAAATCATGAAAACGAATGGGAATGGGAAGAAAGGATGATAAAAGGTTCACTAAATGCCGTGTATGAAAATAATATTCATACAAATCAGTTCTTATTTTAGCCTGTAACGTAACCTAAATGGGACAGTTAAGATATTTCGCAACAAAACCCTGGCTACGTGCTTGTTCTTCCACCTTTTCTATCAATTAAAACCATTGTATTTACCCAGTTGCAATCAGAAATGAAACTTTGGAAACGAGCGTTTGTTTGCTGTAGGTGTTGTGGGTTACACAAACAAGAGAAGAGTTGACCACTACCACATTTATGTATAGGCTCGTCTAGTCTTGCTGCACCCCTATTTAAAAACGAATGCCGTGCCCTTGTGAGATGTATATTGTTTCATTATTGAACCCATTTTCTATATGGGCCTATATCTGAACTGAAATGAAATAAAGTGTCAGTTGTACAGATCTTCATCCTCAGAGTACGAAAAATGATAACAAAAATACACTTACGAAATGGATACCAGACAGATATTATTAAAATCTGTGGATAGCATAACTACACCTACATGGAAGATATTGGGCAAAAAGTTACACATGATTCGAAAATCGTATATAGGAGTTTTAACGCCCGCCTCGCTACGTTGCTGGTCTGATCAATATTGGAGCAGAATCATCATAAATGTAGTCATGCATAAACGATGAGTCTATTGCAAACGTGTACAGTGTGTCGGTTAGTGGAGTTTCTCCTCATAACGAAAACAATTTATTATGAAGAGAATAATTGATGATGTACATGTAATCGCGAAATTTGATCAGTTACCGCGACAGCATCAAGCCATTAGCGGATTATGTCAGTCTGGTCATGAATCCTCGGAGACAAATACATTGTCAGTAAGTACCATGATCGCGTACACTGCCTGGTGCCAAGAAACCGTTATGTATTGCGTTTTGTTTGAAATCGCACCCAGACGATATAATCAATATCTAGCTTCTTCGATCAGTTGATTGATGGACGTGGTCATTCTTTAGGCCTATTATTTAGAAGTTCGGTCGTGACTTCAAATGAAGAAGTTCAGCCTCAGTGTGTCATTATTTTGAGAGAATATTCTGCTAGATCTGTGGTCAAATTTACCCATTATAATAATAATACCAATTTAACATGGAGGTCTTTGCTGTGTATCGCGTTTTAATTATCTTCCATTTACTTAGTGCATTTGTTCTACACAGTTTTCGTGACTGAACCTGGATACGTAAACAGAAACATATGCTGTTTATCGGAGGTGAACAATATGGCTGCACCGTGCAACCTGAAGTCGCCTCAATGGGAGCGTGCAGCTCATGTTTCATTTTGGCGTTGTTTTGTTTTGTTTTTTATTAAGTTTTAATAATGTCCTTTCGGAATAGAAATTCAAGGCACCAATGCAGCTTCATCGATCGAAAATCACGAGCTCATGTGAATGATTGACCAGTGGTTCTGTGTAAATTCTCGATCGTATAGATTCTCCGTAGATTGCCATTGAGTCATTTGTAAAAGGCTTCAAAGAGAGGTTAACACTTTGTTTTATCCACTGACAATAATGGTAAAAGAAGGAAACGGACGGGCGGAAGCCATGTCAGTGACAAAAATGGTTGTAGCGAGAGTGTGATCTTTTTCCTTGCAAGTACTAAATCGTCAAAAGTCGTCGGGTGAGGACCAGTGACCGGTTGATGATACACGTCATTCACTATCCTTGTCATTTCTGATCTTGGGTAGTTATAAGATCATTGGGGCTTTGCATTGAAACCGGATCTCCTACCCGAACGATGTTAGGACATGGTTCCAAACTATTGGACGGGGCAACCATCAGACCATTTGCAGTTTATTTAGTAATATTAAAACAAAGGAAATAGGAATGATTTCCCGGATTCAAATTAAACATATAAACCAAACAAGGCCACGGGCTTACAAAATTTTCCCCTTGGAAGCATGTCCAAGAATTAATAGTGGTAAGTATTTGGGGACAGACGAAATTGGAATTTGAAGTGTTTTGCGCGTTTGCGTTTCTTTTTTGTCTTTTGAAATTTGGGATTAAGTTTCTTTTGCAGATACCAGGATATCGGTATTTTACTTCAGTAGGGTCCAGTATACTACCCGCATATGAGGCATGCATTCTTCTGAATAGGCGTTTGAAACAAAGTTTCTTATTTTTGATTGCTTGTCTGTTTTCCAGGGCGCGTTAATACATTTTATTTTATGGCGGGAATCTATTTAATTTCCGGATAATCCATTTTTGTGGGCCGGACATTCATGTATACTCATGAGGCATGTTATCATATTGATCAGCGTTCACATAAAAAAAATTATAATTCATAGTTGCTTTGGTAACAATACACATGAGTGCGCCCGGCGTGGATATCTCCTATTTGATGTACGTGGGCTCTGCATTTGTTCAACTTTATTTCAATATTGGTTAACCATGTCAGTCAATTTTTTTCATTAAAACAAACAAAATTTAGCACATGTGGAAAGTTCTATGGATTTTCTTCAGTTCATTTTTAATTTCTGTTATCTTTCCATTTAATTTGTATCCGCCGTACAGTGTAACAGAATGTCATTGGTCACCGCGCCTAACATACATTTTTTCCAAATTTTCAAATCCATCCGGCAACAGAGTGAAAAAAAGGAGTTATCTCAAGTTAGAAAGTGTTGAAAGCCAGACAAATGGCCTGGTGTGTGAAATGGAATTTGTGACCCATAAAAGTGAAATTGCAAATAATTGGGCACAGCAGTATAATAAGTCAATTTGGGAATCTTTTTCTATTTCTCCAATTTTGAATTTACATGTACAATATATTTTAACCGTCCTGATTTTTTCATTTATTATCTGGAAGCCCCAGAGTGTATGCAAAATAATATTAAAGCGCCACCTAGTCTGACTTCACAGTGCTCTCGATAAACGAGGCTTCATAGCAAAATATTATTTGCGAAGCGTGCCAGTAACACATTCTAAATAGAATTACGTAAAAGCGTCAGCATCATTATGGTACAAAAGAAGGAAAAAGGGAAGACCAGTTGCGCTGGCTTCATTGCAGTGGATAAGGGAAAAGTTATGTATTGACTATTGACGAGGTTTGTGATTCGAATACTACATGATACATTTTGTGGATTTTCTTCTGGTCCGTTTCCTGTGCAAAAAGATCAGTTTTGGAAAGGATGTTTACTGCCCAAATTTGCAGCCTCGAATTTTGTTTTCTTCGAGGGAAAAATGCTCCTATCAGCGCGTTATCGACTAGAGCCTCATTTATTAATTTGACCCTCGCATCACATTATACGATATTATATCACCGGCACACTTAGAAAATGGCATTTTGCTTTAAAAGCCTCTGATTATTAACATTAATGGATAGTTGGATCGGATATTAATTAGGAACTTTATGGGTTT